GGAAGTTTGGTTGAAATTGGAACGATGTGACAGAAAAGTTGAAAGATTTTTTTTAGAATTACACAGTACAACTCCCTATGAACGCACACACGCAAACCCTAACACAAACATAGGATGTTGTGCGACCGCGTCGGCCCAACAAATTCATCAACAGCTCTATACCTTCGTAGCATAGGCTGTATTTAGTTGGTGCTAAAATTAGAAGTCTGGTTGAAATTGGAACGATATGACAGAAAAAATTGGAAGATTTTTTTTTTAGAATTACACAGTACGACTCCCTATGAATGCACGCACGCAAACCCTACCCTCCTTCAGATTGACGAAGTCACCACAGGCGCCTCGCTGTCGACGGGTACGTCGCCTACCACTAAAAAAATTCGCTCCCATGGGGAGTCGAACCCAGGACCTCGGTGCTACTGAGGCTCTTATAACCACTAGGCTACAGGCTCTTTCATGAAAAGTTAGAAGATTATGTGTGTAGAAAAGTTTGATGTGATGAAAAAGTTGAAAGTTTGTTTAAAAAAAATTGGATCTAAACACGGTCGTAGTCATGTTTCATATACCCAACATAATCTACTAGTCTCAGCCTAGCCGTTCAGCCAACATTTTATTGGTCCAAATGGCCATATAATTTAACGACACATGGAGCAACATGATAAAGGATGTGTTCTGAGCAGCGATCCGATGAATTGCCGAGTAACTAGTCATGTCCTTCTGGATCTCTTGCGTACTATTAGCCACGCTAATTAACCGATGGTTGACAGTGAATAAATTATTTAGATGGAGTACATGGATGTGCGACTGTGAACTAAACCGGCTGCATCCATGCAGCCATGAGGAGTTGGAATGCAGTGCAAAGTCTATATATGTGGCAATCTTAAACATACGAGAAGAGTTGGATTCGTATTATTTTTTCAGTTATTACTGATATAGTATACTACGAAAGAACTCAAGATTAATATCATTTTATATTCTAATACACCGTAGTCTTAACATAGAAATCGTATATTTAAGTAATATAAGCAATAAAATTTATTGTATAAAAAGAGTAGCAAGTATTAAAAATAAAAATAAAAATGAAAATGAAAAAAATATTTTTTGGCTAATCCACAAATTTTATTGTTTTAAAGGAAAATTAATGTACAAAAGAGTAGCAATTATTAAAAACAATTAAGAATGAAAAATGAAAAAAGATATATTTTTTTCTAATTCACAAACTTTACTTTTTTAAAAATAAAAGTCAGTGAAAAATTATTCTAAGTGACTATGTTAAAATTCAAAATAGGTAACTTAACCATGTTGATATCCATGTCTATAAAAAAAAATTGAAACAATAAATAGCAACTATAAACATAACAAAAAATATTTCTCACGATTTTACAAATTATAAAAGCTTTTATTCAATACCCTTAAATTTACGAAAGTAATATAGAATATTTATAAAATATACTTTTATATCCTTATAATACAATCTTCACCGGTTTGTTAGTAGCACGCATTACTACCATGTTTTGGTATTGTTTTTTCTCAATAGTCTACAAGTATAGAACTAAAAAATGAACAATGTTTATTGACATTTATGAATATTGAACCAATCGCTATAAGAAAATCTTACATTGTAAATAAGATTTAAATAGTATTATCATGGGTTAAATTACCAAGCAAGCCAATTTTCTAGTATTATCATGTATTCATAACCAAGTAGAATGATAAACAAATAGGCATGCCATTGTGTAAGCAGAGAACTCACAAATATCACAGAAGAAATGATTATTACTATTATTAAACGATAAACAAATCATGATAAGAACCATTTGAATATACGTGTGAATTGTGATTACAGTTAGACAATCCACATGACCAAAATCTGCCTTAGCAGCAAACACTTTCCAATTTGTAATTGTCAGAACAATCAACTGGACTAACCAAGTAGACATGCCATTCCAATTTCCAATTGTCAAAACAATCAATTGTAATAATCAGGTAGAATATCTAGTGGAGACAAATATCTCAACTCAAGTGACTAATTGTTAGAGGCATGTCATGACGACCTTCGGTCGAACTGCCAAAACACTTACCAAACCACGCCGAAGTGCAAGGCATGCTCGAGCGGTGAAGCGTCCATTGAGCGATGAAGCAAAAGATCTTCGCCACCATATGATGAAGGAGCAGCATAAGGCAAAGGAGGATGTGCCTTTGACAGAGACCTTCGCCCCAGGAAGCCCAACAAGCGGCCCAGTTAGGGGCCTTTAGGGCCCATAGACCGGTTAGTTGGGCCAAAAGACAACTATTACCCATGTAAACATCCTTGTCATGAGAGCGACTAAGTTAATTCCCAAGTAAGCAGAAACCATAGGGTTGTAACCTTGATACTGTAAACCTATAAATAGACCCAAGGGGTATGTAATAAGGGATCTAATTTTTAAGAACTCAATACATATTCCCTACATATTTTTCACATATTAGAGTAAAGCATGCCCTTTCGGCAGACGCATTTGTCAATCGACAACACTAATCTAGATTATAATGAAAATAATTGGAATTCACAACACCTACATTCCATTAGTAATAGCACCCAATTAAGAATCACCATCTTCTCCTAACCTAGAAAAATATCAAAACCAAAGATCTCTATTACGTTGCTTGTTGAAACCCAACTGAACCCCTCTTTGAAATCCCATTACCGTTGCAGTCGAACTCAAAGAAAGGATCATCCTCATCAAAACCAAAACATGTAACAACTACACTATACATATCAGTCTTGCCTTTTTTTTTTTTCAGAAGCACGACTTCCGTCAAAAGAGTATATGCTCATCATCTTCCAAATCATAATAATTTAGGCTTATCGGAATCCTGCTGATTAGTACCGACCTCGGAAGAATATTGTCCAGAGCTGCCTTTATAACATGTGCATCTAAAAATTGTTGGGCGTGGTTGCCATGTTTTCTGGATCACCCATTTGATAGAATTAGCGGATCATATCCTTTGACGTTGCCCTATCAAGACAAAACATACCTTTCATGTGCACAAGTGCCTTAACTGGACAATAACAACAAATCACTGCAGCAACACTACGGCAACACTCATGTAAAGATTGAGATAGTTTCTGTATTAACAATTGATTTTTGTTACTATAGTACAAAATTTAACTTGGAATATTGTTGAAAAACATTTATCTTGAAACAGCTAGAGGATATAAAGTAAAACTTGGTCTTTTTTGAAATAGTTTCTCTTTTCAGGTTCTAGCAGTAGCACCTCAAATGTATGTTAAGATTGGACATAATGTCGAGAATAGAAAAAAAAAGGACTGAAAAATAATAGAGGCTTATATAAGAGTAGAGTTAAAACTGATCTTTTTTTGAGTCAGCATGCCACGTAGTGCTTCAGAAATTTGATCATGTGCTTCCTAATCCCTATCATTCAATGAATTGCCAGGATAGCTGATCGACTTCAACTCAACTTGCATGAATTTTTGCAGTCAGTCTTCAAAATTTTACTATTTTCTAGAATTCTCATAATTTTCTAGGCATTTTTGTACTCCACTACTCAGAATATATTTTGCTAATTACATTTTTTCCTCTAACAGTGATGAAGGTGCTCATTGGGTGGAGATGGAATGACATGAAGGCCAACTTTAGGAAGATCTAGATTTGTGACCCCATATTGTGAATAAAGCAGTGTTATGTGCAATTAGTATTTGATGTCAACTTCTATAGATTTAGTCCAGTTTGATGTCAACTTCAGATTTAGTCCAGTTTGATGTCGACTTCAAATTTAGTCCAGTTTGCTGTGCTGTTAGATTGGGCAAGCCAAATATTTGCGATAACAAGTACTAATTACTTGTTCTACTTGTTTTGACATTTCTGATGTTTTCTTCTATTGGAGCAATTACCCTGATTACTAACCGAGTCCTGCAGTCAGTTTGTAGTTATGTTTTCAGATCTTTTAGTCTTTTTCAGAATGTTTCTGATTTTCTCCAGATCTTTTTAAAATATTTTGAATTTTCTGTAGGTTTATTTTTTGACTTTGCATACTGTTTAAATTCCAAAATTTTCTGTACATTATTTCGTATTTTAGGAAAAGCTACTTCATAACTGCTGCAAATGATATTTGAATCCTGACTTTGAATTTTAGATGAGAAAGATATATCCCCGTCACTACCCATCCAAACAAGGGCGGAGCTAGAGAAAAATGAGGGGTTCCTAACTTCTCATATCCTCCTCTCAGTTGAGCTAGTTATAGAGTTTTGGGCCAGAATTTTGGGCTTTTGGGGTGAGGGGGGTTCTCTGATTTGGGTTAGGGGTGCCTATATGGTGAAAATATGAGGGTAACAGGCTATTTAGAATTTTAGGCAGGGTTCCTGGGCACCCCCCGGCTCATTGGGCTCCGCCACTGCATCCAAACCAAATTGCCAAACCAGCTAAACCCACGGTGGAGGGGTATTGGAAAGGGATTGGGTGGTCCACCCAATCCCTCCCTCCATGGTGATGGTTTCCTCGGGAAAAATACTACACACCAGCCAAACGAGGCCTTAGGGCTTGGGGGTAGGGTAGGTGTGGTTGTTTTTCAATAAAACCCTTGTGTTTATTATGTTTACAACGCTACTTCTAAATCAGAATTTTCTCTTCTTCGTATTGTATTCTTTGAAGGGTAAGAAGTTTTTTTTTTTTTGTGAAAAACACAACAGGCTGTCAGCCAGTGCGAGGGTTAGTTCAAAATTTTATACATTGGCAAGGAGTTTTTCCAAACCAGCGGTGGACGAAGCCCGACACGCGGCATCCTCAAACACGAAATTAACAGTGCGATTACCGGCGAACCACGTTTTGCCTGTTGCAAACGCGCTCACGAGGAGCGATAATCAGAAGACGGCGACGTGTTAATCAACCGAATAGCCAAAAAAAAATTCAGAAAAATGAGAAAATCGCAATGGTTAGGAAATTGATCAATTGATGATATGTCCAGCCACGGATAATTCAACGAAAAATACTGCACGTGCAAAAAGAAAATGTTACTAGCTGTTTGCAAATGTTGATATGGCATGGAATCTTGGTTGTTTTTTTATAATATATAACATTTAACAAATTAAATCATATAGTTGAAAACTTTGGGACTTTGCCTCCATCATCTTTTGCCCTTGGTCAAACTGCATATTTCATCAGCGCGACCGGAGACCACCGCCCAACCGCCGCACGCGGCCCAATCAGTGCTGGCCTCCCGCAGCTGCGTGCGACCTTTGCCTGCGAGAGAGAAATAAAAGGGAGGAAGAAGAAGAAAGGAGAAGTTGGGGCAAGGTGCTATAATCTAGTATTTTGCAGTTGATGGATGCGATTCAACGAAGGGCAAAAGATGAGGAAAGGAAACTGAAATGGCATGGAGATAAACATTTCGTCGAACACCTTACCGGTCATGTGAGCTGCCGTGGTCTGGCCCTCCCCCAGATTAAAACAACTAATTGCACCAAGTCACTTACCATTCCCCAAGTCTATTGTACCTCCCTTATCATTGGGCCTCTCATGGTCCATTTGTTTCTTTGCATGTTGCTGGCTGTTCTGTCATCTACTACCCATCTGTAACGACACATGAACTCCAAAGGGCTGAACAGAGAATATCTTCATATCTCAAATATTGGCTTCTCCTCATTGACTAAAATAACTAATATATGTACAATCAGATTAATTTAACTTATATTTCATTGCGTGTCCACAGCTCAATTAATCTTTGTTTCTGCCATCACTTATCATTCCATTTGCACGCTTCACCATATGATATATTTCTAGCTTAGTTCATAACAAAAATTAAAACATGCATGCATGAACTTCTGTAGCCAAATTTACCTGTACATCCAACCTATTTGTTGTCACTTGGCAAAGTTAATAGCACCTATACATGGGAAATTTGACACATTAGTGTTATGCTTTAGACATGGATGGCTTACATTGACTTACTGCATTTGACTCTTGTATACAACAATATGATAGACAATACATCTCCTGCTTGTGTCAGTAAGATAATCGTTGATGCCAGTCACTACAAAACCTTAATGCGTACGCTGCTAATTAACCAGAACCTTCAATTATTTTGGTATCACACCCACCCGTACGATATATAGTCAACCTTGTATTCTTAGATTTGGTGTTGCTAACCCTTAACCTTGGTGTTCCTCTTTGTCCTTCTCATCGGAAATAATATGACCGCCACTTAGATGTCAACCATCTATCAAGCACTCAAGCCTCATGCATGTTTATCTTTCATCACAATTTGTAGTCCATGCTTGGCCCAATCCAACTACAACTCATAGCACAGATGAACCTTTGTAACTCACATTTTTAACTTTGTTGTACAAGTAATTTGTGATTTTGTATTTAGGTTTACTGCTTTGCATTATTTAGAATTTATAATGAAGCCTATTTCTATTTGCTATCTGTGTTGTGGTCATGGAACCATTCATAATATGTGTTGTCTAGAGGCTGCTCTACCAATTCTACTATGCCGATCGGATCATGTGGCATGAATATGTAGTGTAATCATCATATACCATCCTATCAAACACTGAGTCTTTTTCTAACCAAGACCTAGCAAACACTAACTCACTAAGTAAAAGAAGAAACCATACTCAATACGGTTAGTGTGGAGTTCAACCTCCAAGAACGAATGAACCTCATAAACTTGAATTGGCACCATAAATATGTATTGTATCCGTTTTTTCTCGAAGGCTGGAAGCAAAGCATCAAGTTCTGGGAATTGCCTAATCATAAAGCTAATAACGCAATAATCAAGGAAATGTGAAAGGTGATAATAGAACTAAGCATGAATAGCAATAGCATTACCATAAGTCCATAACGCCAGAACAACATAAACTAACAGTATGTCCTCCCTCCCGGATGAAAGATCTTCCCTGCACAATCAAGAAAAATGGATCATATTTGAGAAGGGCACAGAAAAAATAATATTAGAGAATGAATAGGGAAAAATAAGTTCCAACTTTATAGGCTACTGAAACTCAAAAGCAGAGACAGACACAGAGAGAACCAAGATCAGCTGCTCCTATCACTGTGCTAAATGCTGTTATCGCTTCATCCTAAGTTTGTGTGAGTAAATTAGATTCCAAGCATGATTCAATCATGACAAATCATGTCATATATCACTGCGTCAACTTCCAAAGCTTGTGCGCCGGAATATAAATAAGAGCTCACCAAGATAAGAGTATAGATGACACTCTGTCCATTGTAGCCTCTGCAACATTTCTATCAATACAGATTTTAGTTAACCAACATGTTAGGAGAGGGTGTATTAAATACTATCGGAGAAACATACCAACTTCAAAATGCAACCAAAGTAAGAGAGAGTCCAGTGCTGTGTATGTGTGGTGTGCGAGAGAGGGAAGTTGGAGCAGACCATCATGTAGAAACTCCTCAGTTATTGAAGGATTTTTCTTCAACCTGCTCTTTACCTTTATATATTAGTCTAATTTTATGTCCTATGATTTAAGATCCATATTTTGATCAGTGATTTAATTTTTACATGATAAAGAAATTTGAAAGTACCTAAGAATAACTCCCACCAAATACTATTAAGCAAAGTTTTCAACAGAATGAAAACGAAAAGGGTTGCAACCCTTGTATCCATGAGCTATTACGAACAAACATAATAAATGAAGTACATGTTCTTCAACATTATCTTTGAAAGAACTGAGCTGATCATCCTAGTTTGTTAACTCACTAATGCTACCGGTGAGTTGTCATATATTCCATGGTAACTTTATATTTAGCGGATATGTACAAGGAAAAAACAGAAGAATATGGATGAATTCCTTTTTCTTTGAAACAGGATGGCTGTATTGTTTTCTAGGACTGAAACAACAAATAAGTTATAAAGGAAAATGACTATCCATTTGGTATAACCAACTTGTGGCAGACCTTAATAAGTTAGTAGGCATTGCAAAGAAGTCGACCCCCAAAAGCAATAGCTTATGTCATACCTAGAGTTCTAGAAGACTGGAAGCACAACTGGACATCAGCAGACCTTCTACCAGAATTCACTACAAGAGCATTTTCCACCTTCAAAATGGTGAAAACGACTAGAATCTCGCACAACGATCTTCCGATGGGTTATTTCACTAATTAACTTCATTACTGTATGGCAGTCCACACAGACCCGAAGGTTCTTCACCACCCGGATCACAGACCCTGGAGGAGACTTGATTAATCCAAAAGCAACAGCCAATCTCTCGCTGTGCAAGAAGAGATGGTGCTCCTTTTCGCTTTCTTCCAAGTCATGCATCACAGAACTAGTATCAGGAACATAACCCCTTTTGCGCATCTCCAATACCATTTCCTCAAGAAAAACCATAATTTCTTCTCTAACATCAAGTGGCACTTCCCCAGCATGAAACAAACGGAATTCTCTTCCAGCTTCAATCCAGCTATACCCTGGCTCTTTTCTTATCTCCAATCCAATCATGCACTTTCTAACCTTGGCTACGGAATCCCACTTTCCGTTCACTGCATAAACATTAGATAACAAGATATATGTGGAAGAATCTTTTGGTCGTAGCTCTAATAGTTTATCGGAAATCCTGATACACATTTCAGCATCCTTGTACTTCGTACATGCGCTCAACAGGGCCCCCCAAGTAGCTTCATCAGGCTCATATGGCATTGTAGTCATTAGCTCTTCAGCTTCCAATAAATGGCCTGAGCGACTAAGAAGATCCAGATAACACGTGTAGTGCTGCAATCTAGGAGTGATGCCATACTCATTCTTCATTGACTCAAAAAGCTGTCGCCCTTTCTGAACAAGACCAGCATGGCTACAAGCATAGATCAACCCGACAAAGGTCACCTCGTTGGGCTTCGCTCCTGCAAGAACCATCCTGTCATAAAGAGCCAATGCCTCCTCAGCTCGACCATGCTGTGCCTCTCCAACAACCATTGTCGTCCACGAGATTACATCACGGAATGTAATCCCCTCAAATACTTCTCTAGCAGAGAGTATATCACTGCATTTCGAGTACATGTCAATCAACGCATTCCCAACAATCATGTTGGACAGGAACCCAAGCCTCATTGTGGAACCATGCAACTGCCTACCCAGCACAAAAGCAGCCAGGTCTGCAGAACCGCCAATGACGATCGACAGCACGAATGCATCATCAATCCTAACACCATCCCGCCTCATCTCAACAAAAAGCTCCACTGCGCCGACACTCTCACCGGTGTTCACTAGCCCCGAGATGAGCGCAGTCCATGCAAACAGATTGCGCCCAGGCATGCTACGGAATAGCTGCAGCGCCTCCTCACTGCGGCCGTTGGACGCGTACCCAGAAACCAGGGCAGTCCACACAACGCTGTTCTTGGCACTCATACTGTCGAACACCTTCCTGCCATCGTCCGGGGAGCCACACTTGCAGTACATGTCGACCAGAGAGGACTTGACGACGTCATCCCCGTTGTATGGGGATACCACGAAATGCGCGTGCAGCTGCCTGCCAAGGCGGCGGCTACGGAGCCTGGCGAAGACGCTGGCAACGGAGCTGATCACGAAGTGGTCGGGGTGGAGGGCGTCGGCGGAGAGCATGCAGCGGAGGATCGGCAGCGCGAGCTCGGGGGACGCGGAGTGGGAGACGGCAGTGAGGAGCGAGGAGTAGATGTAGATGTCCCGGCGCGGGGTTTCGTCGAACAGGTGGAGGGCGTCAGGGAGGAGGCGGGACTTGGCATAGGCGGAGACGAGCGCCGCGGGGTTCGGAGGGTGGTGGGCCAGACCTTCCTTGAGGATGCGCGCGTGCATGCCGCGCACGGCCGCCGGCGACCCCGCCGTGGCACGGACGGCGGCTACAGCGGTGGCGGCCGGAGAGAGCATGCATAGGTCCGCTTCGTGTCTTCCTCCCCAATATCTGAGCCGTTCGTTCTGAATTGATTGATCAATAATTCTCCTTCTTTCGCCTCCTACAAGCCCACAAGGCCACAAAGGGATCGTTTGAGTTCAACTAGCAAAATACCCGTGTGTTGCAACGGATGAAAACAATTTTAATAATTAATCTGTCATATGGTAAATCATTTATTTTGCTCATTGATACTTAATAAATATTACGTGAAAGTATTTAGAAATACATCAATATCATTGTTTATTAATAATATTTTTCCTTTAATAATTTTAACTTGTATTTTATTATGTTATCACTTATATATAAATTTATATTTTTCTTTAATTTTATGTATGAATCGTACTTAAACTTTATAAAAATATTGAATTCACATTGTTTCTAACCTGATAACCTGATAAAGAAAGAATGTTAAATTAGATTCATGCCAAGTGGCACAATATGTCTTTTAGAAAATTTATAACCTAATAAAGAAAAAAATGTTAAATTAGATTAATGCCAAGTGTCACAGTATGTCCTTTAGAAAATTTTATGGAATGAAAACTTCTTATAAGAATATACCTTAATAAAAAGATATTTTGAGTGACTGAGTAGTTTGTGGTATAGATTCTTCTTAAGAAATTTATGTGAGTTAGGATGAGTAGAAATTATGTGAGCTTACATTTTCCGTTCTAATGCAACTATTCTAAGGGTGTTTGGATGAGATTCAGTAACCAAATTACATCTGCTAAAAACAAAAATCAAAAATAACAAGTTGAAAGTAGGTGGAACTGGGCAGAGGCAGATCTAACCCTGTCCCAAACTTTTTTGAGGGATAACGCAGAATACCTGATGAGGTGTGGGTAGGGAGGGATGCTCACCGGCGATAGACGATGCGGTGGAAGCAGCCTCTGCTCGCAGGATGGGGATCGGCGCAAGCGGCGGGCGAGGAGAAGAAATTCGAGGCCGAGGCCGAGGCCGGATGGGATGGATTAGGATGCTCACCAGTGAGGGAGCAGGAGAACGCCGGGCCACCTCTGCTAGCAGGATGGAGATCGGCGGGAGTCGGGGGGCGGCGGGCAAGGAGACGGGGCGGATTGGGGAGGCGGAGGTCGTGCAGCGCTCTGCTGCCGCGCCGCCGCGGTGTCGCCTGCCTATGGGTCATATGCACAGGCCCCTGAGGCTGGAATTTTTTCATATCCCAAAAAAGTTCATATAAGGTCCCTTATCTTGTCGTCGAGTTTTAAACTGTCCTGAACCCTCTAATCTCATAAAACCGGATCACTTTTCATCCCAAGGTAGTAATGTTTTCTGGTTTTATTGATGTGGCGGCTAAGTCCCACGTGGACTCCACAAGTCAACCGACAATCTTCTTCCACCTCACTCCCTTCTACTCCCATCTCAACCCAAACCTTCAGGGCATCTGCCAATGGGTTGGGAGAAGGGTGTCGGTCGGTGGGGAAAAGCTCGACGGCGGAGGCCGCCGGCTGACGTGGCTCCCAACGGCCAAGAGCGCTCACATCATGGACTTGCGCGCGGGGGGTGCAACGCGGGTCCCAACTACAACTGCAATGCCGTCTTCACCTGCACGCACGAGGGCTGAGGCTTCTGCCTCGTCACACTGGCCAAGCTCCTATCCCCCTAGCTCATAGTCGCCCCCCGTCGAGCTGCTCAAAAGCTGATGAGTTTAGGTGTCCCCGAGCTCCGCCTCTCGTCTGCAGAGGCGCACGCGCGGTTCCGCTACATCGTCTTCGAGGTCAACTCCATCTACACCACATTGCGGTCGCATCGTCCCCGATGCATGCGCCCTTCTCCCCGTCGCTCGCCGCTGCCAAGCATCTTGTTGGCTGCCAGCCTTCTCCCCACCCATCGCCAGGCGCCATCGTCGGGCTTCTACCTACCACCGCCGCCCAACGACTGCCACCCTTCTCCCTGCTGGTCAACGGCCACCACACACCTCTCCCGCGATTCAGCGTCTGGCTTCCTCTTCGCGTGCATGCACGAACACTCATGGAGTCAGTGGTGCTCGCGACTATGCTCAGGCGTCGCAACGATACTCCATCTCCCAACTCTTGGAGATCCTCTCGCCAATCTCAACGGTGTGGCTGACATATGACCACGATACGGACGCGGCGTAGATACGTGGCGAGCTGCCACGCAACGATGTGGCAGTGTAACCCGAGGGGACGACGTGTCAGGAGCCCTTCCTACTTCGCTTCTTCGCGCTCTTCACCGTGCAGGTCCATGATGCAGCCGTCAGTCGCCACTCTTCTCCCCACCTCTTGCCGGCTGCCCTGGAGGTTTGGGTTGAGACGGGAAGAAAGGGGAGATACGTGGGAGAAGATTATCGGTTGATATGTGGGACCCACATGGGCCCCACGCTGACTCAACCACCACATCACTAAAACCGGGGAGCAATAGTGCCTTGAGACGTAATGTGACCTGGTTTTGCAAGATTAGGGATATGTTATATTTGGTATTTTAGTTCAGGGGCAATTTTGAAACTCGGCGACAAGATAAGGGACCTCAAGTGAACCTTTTCCTTTCATCTCTCTCTTTTCTCTTTCTTTTAAGAATAGTAGAGATGCTCGTGCGTTGCGATAGGAAATCCAAATTACATATGTTATTTTTTTCATGTATGGTGGCGGAGAGTTAGATGATAGATATTTGGGGGCCTTTTTTCATGAACCTGGGCGTGATGTTGTCGTGCTCGGATTGGAAACTGAATTTTTATAAGTGATTGTTTCCATTTGATGTGAGCAGAAGAGTCGGACGCTTGTGGAGGACATGGAAACGGACAACAATTCACATGTCGGATGAAAAATTATGAGACACGCTTTTCTATGACAAACGACAAAAACACTATTAATGTTTTAAGTAGATAAAGATATATAACTATATAAGTCGTATTTTGCAATGAAATTTATATAGATACATTATAACCTACCTCCCAGCATTTTCATATTTTTTTTTACCACCGTATACATATATTTCAAGCACTAAGCATGATTTAAACATTGTGGTTTTACATTTCAAACAATAGTCATGAAAATTTTGAAAATATTTTAGAGCTTTGATAATGGTGTTATGGCCCTGCAAAATGTCAGCTGAATATGACTCGTATAAAAAGAAACGAAGAAGATAAATGCTCGAGCAAACCGATTTTAGTAGTTCAAGGGGTACAATAAGGCAAAACATAGGTCAGTGGGTTAAGGGTGTGCTTTTTAATCCATCTTCCTAACTTATACTTGTTTCCAATCTGCTAAATAGTGTAATTTATGTAAAAAAATTATAAAGAAAAATTGCTTTAAAAAATCATATTAATTTATTTTCATGCTTTTAAAACTAATATTTAATTAATCATGCACTAATGCGTGCTCTGTTTTACTACATGCTAAAGAGGAGGGGTTCCTAGCCCCTCTTTTCGTACTTAGCCCATGTGAACCAATGAAATATTATAAAATAGATTTTCTTTCAAACCAATATATTAATATGTCCGTGCTAACGCTACGATGATATTATATTTTGACAATCAGGCATACATATACAGATTCATGCCAAGGATACAAGAAAATAAAGCCTACATATTCATTATTCTACATGAGTTAATGACATGTGGGTCAGGATGACATATCTCAAATTTTGCAAAATTATAATGGCATGGTTCCAATTTTCCCTAGAAAAGAAAGAGTGCCGCCACCTACATTTCAAAATCCCACACATTTCAAAGTCCTATACAATAATAACAAGTTTAATACCAAGACATAGTTATAGATTTTTAGTTTTGTATTAGCAAGTTTTTTGTTCTGCGAATGTTTCAAAATCCTAAATTGAACTGTATTTCTTATTCAGATCATAACCATCACAAAAACTCATAACAGATCAAAATGTTCATATATTTGGCAGCATGATGGACCATGGGTGAAAATAGTGACCCAAAACATTTAGCTGTCTTTCAGTTTCAGCAAAAAAAAAAATTAACCACTTTGACTAGTAATATGCCCGTGCTAACGCTACGATAATATTTTGTAGTTCAAATGTTGTACATCCAAATCGCCAAAAAAAAATGCTTCCACATTCCGTTGATCTTAATACAAAATAATACACATACACCACAGTAAGGACATGATTATTTTACAGCCCACTTGATGGTTCGATAACAATACATCTCTGGAAATGGCATGAGGGGTAACAAATCTAGTAAAGTGGCAAAGAATTCTCTCAATAATCTATTATGCGCATACTATGACCACTGATTCAGAAAAATATTATCCAGATCCCAACAAAACCTACACAATTCTGATTGAACCAGTGTGTAGGAGAGTAATAAGGTTTCTACAGCCATTGCATGCTTCAGATTTATTTAACAGCCCAATAGCTTATTATGCACTTCATTGTGTTGAACTTGAAATGCCTTGCTTGTGCTGCAGAGAGGTGAAACGGAATCTTAAGAATTATTAAAGGCGTTTCAAAACAAAGAAAAAGGCTAGGCCTTGATCAGCATAAATTAGTTCATTTAAATTTTAGCTTGCTCAATGTTTTCCATGGCCAAGAGTCAGCATAAACACCAACATTAAACAACACCATATAAGGGGAATCATGCTTGATCAATGTTTTCCATGGCCAAGAGTCAGCATAAACACCAACATTAAACAACACCATATATGGGGAATCATGCTTGATCATCAAGTGGGGAATAGTAAACTATTGACAATCCTGCCAATTAGGTACAACACAAAATCATGCAAATCAGTTGTATCATATTTCAAAAAGTTAATCAAATCATGTAATACAGTCAAACCACACCCCAGTCAAGCTGACCTCACCGCCCCAGAGGTAGTCGCCTCCCCGGAACTTCACCAAGACAGCCCCTCCATGTGCCCTACAACGATGATGTAGGCATCCACATTTGCTGTCATTGGTTGCCCTGTAAATAACACTCGCTGTAGCTCAATAGATGTCAAACCACACTGTTAAACATGAGGCACATGATTTTTTTTGGTAGAAAATTGGGAAAGAAAACACCGAAACAGCACAAATTATTTGTACTGATAAATCGAAGACTATTTGAAAAAGAATTCATAGAAGTAAGGAATGCACTGGAAAAGAACACAATTCTCAAATATGGGACCTGATCACTTAACATGATATCAAATCGAGCAGTTCGTGAGCAGCAATATTTTTTTTAATGGAATGAGCAGCAAGATTTCGATGAGCAAGAGCAGTGAAATACCATGCCGAAGTCCAAACATTACATCCATACATGGTACTATCAACATGTCTACTGCCGTAAATTCAGACAGTACATGCTACTCTGAACATGTCTATATGCTGTCAAAATGCTGAATATGACTGAAATTCTGAAACCAACTAAATGGGATCAAGTCTCAACCCATCGACAATAAAGCTCCGACATTAAGATAAAATCCATACATATATAACCCTAAAAACTAATGCTAACCTCAGCCCGATAGATTGGAAAGTAGTTACCTTTAATATCGGATGCATCGACCCTCACTCCATTATCCAGCTAAAAGCATCAGCCACAATCATGGTTCCACAGATCATCGTCTGCTGCACGTTGTCCTAGGTGTTAGCACCACCTCCATGCTGCCCACGACTCAATTGTGCCAATTTAAATTGTTGACAGACTACACAATGCTGGAACTTTGGATCAAGGACATACAGGAGTTCTGCAAATTAATGAAGCATACCGGCTCCCGAAACCAGTTGCTCTCGTCTTTCTCCCTGATCGGCACTGAAATATAAAAGTAGTAAGAAAGAATGCCCATGTTCCTCTTCATATTTGAATTTCATTGATTCAACTTGAACTCACCTGACAAATCACAAAACCATGCATCCCTTTAATGTAGTTATGTTTTCATCTGATCCATCCCTTTAATTTAGTAAGAAAGTGAAGTTCCTGACTAAGAATAGCTGCATTATTCTAACTTTTTTTTACCAGAACTGCATTCTTTCTTTGTTTTTTTACCAGGACTGCATTCTATCTGTTGAAAGAAATATTATGTACAGTGTACAATTGCTGAGAAAACCTTGACATCAATAGAATTTGCAGGTTTTTTTATTCCATATAATTTTAAAATAAACCCAATCATATTCTCATTGCAAAAGGATACTTTGGAAGTATCAGCATCGTTACAAAGAGATTATAGTGAGGCACAAATAAATGTATGCTCGAATTACTACAGATGAAAGCAACACTCATACGGGATTGTATAATTCTGAAGCATTCAAAAACATTCTCACAGGTTTTCTATAAATCTATGCGTAAGCCATCATAATCTAGAATACTTCAGTCTATGCTCGAGGTAAGTATATAATATACACGGTGTGAATAAGAGTATATTATGTTTCATGCATAAGAGTAGCAGTCCTGCATAAGAGTAGTTGAAAATCATATGGCCGATGTACCTCTTCTCATGCATAAAAAGGATCCAGAATATCTTGTTAATAAAATGCATGTTTTGTGCCATTTTTCTACCTAAATCCTTTTTGTCATGCATTCTGTAAGACCCTAACGATCCCCACTCATGCAAGAGACAAGGTTGCACTAAAACCTAAACTCAATTTATTCATCCAAAAACCACGATCTGAAACCATACATACATCCCTAGTACATCTGAAACAATACATAAGATGCCACTGGTGCTGGTCCTCAATACCGATCTTCCTCATCATCGCTACATGAAGAGAAAAGTATATATATTCCCTCCACATCTAAACTTGTTATAAGGGTTGTTAATTAGAAAAAGGTGATCTCAGCCATAGAAGTAAAAGGATGGCTGAGAATAGGTGAAATTCACCCAGGCAACAGCTGCTGCTGCGGCTGCTCTTGTTTGGGCAATAAAATCAATTGGTTATTTTCAAGTCCTACATTGGGGGAGTTTAAGCCATTGGGGGAGTTGCTTTAGTTGGTTTCAATTGTAATGGTTGAAGGAATGGGATCGAGCGAAGCTTACCTTGTCTGCAGCGTGGTGGAGAGGGTTCTGGTGGTGGCGCAACAGAGAGCACATGGCGCAGGATCCTTGGCGGTGGCGGCGTCGCGGTACAGAAGGCATCCCGGTGGCGGCTCAAGATCCTTCGTGGTGGCGTCGGAGGCGTCTCGCGACGCGGTCGGCAGGAGGGACCGCGCGCCGGCTGCGTGGTCAGCGGTGAGGGGCGGCGCCGCCGTCGCTGGAGGGGGGCACGGGTGTCGGAGGCGTATCGCGAGTTCGCGACGCGGTCAGTGGGGAGGGGCGCCGTCGCGCTGGCGGCGAACGGAAGGGTGGCAGCAGGGGAGAGAGGAGGAGGTGGCGGCAACGATTAGGGTTTGCCCGGGGAGTGCGGCGACGCTTGTGGTTATAGTTGGCCATGTGGGCCGCCCGGCACGGCACGGCCCAGGCCCGGCCGTGCCTGGGCCGAGGCTTGTCGGGCCGGCACGGCCCGACCGACGCACCGGGCCGTGCCGTGCCAGCCCACGTGCCGCACTCACGGCCCAGGCACGGCCCAACACGCCTCGGGCCGTGCCGGGCCGGCCCGAAGGCACGATGGGCCGTCGTGCTTTTCCTCAGAATAAGTCTAAATTTCCTCCCTCCTATTGGGCTGTGACATATGTACAGCTACAAAAAGTCTATTTTACCTCCCTCTTCTTTGGGCTGGGGTATATAAATAGCTAAAATAAGTCTATTAAAGGTCCCTATTCTCTAGACAGTTACATTTATATGTCTATTTTTAGTCCCTATACTTTATGTACCGGGCCTGGCCTGCCGGCCCATCGTGCCGGGCCGGCCCGACCGTGCCGGGCCAGCCCAGCGTGCCGGTGGGGAGGCCCAGGCACGGCCCGACGGTCGGGCCGGGCCAGCACGGGCCCGACCCAAGTCGGGCCGTGCCGTGCTTGGGCCGGGCCAAAAAGGCGTGCCGTGGGCCGGGCCTTCGGGCCTCGGGCCTTATGGCCAACTATACTTGTGGTGGCAGGGGAGGCGACCGCGCTGTAGGTTGGGAGAGGGAGGCGGAGCGATCTGGATTGGTGGAAGGAGAGCGCGTTGGGGATTTTCGGTCGAGGTGGGAGGAGCGATCTGAGCGGCGTGATTTTTGGATGAGGGAGTGGGGGATATGTGCGCGGAGGTTGAGGGGGTACGTGGGACTGTACGTGGCGTTGGATCGGATGATTCTGGACCGTTGGATCTGATGAATAAAGTACGAAGGATGTAAGACCCAGTTGATGAATTATAGGGTAGATAATTCAACATATGATCATTACAATCATCAGGTTTAGTATATAAACATACGGAGATGCACATCAAATTGAGAAAAAAATATCTTCAGTTCTCTTTAATCTTTACCTCTTATACATAAATTACAGAGTATCAAATGAACACCACAAATGGTCAAATTTCATATTACCATTGAGTCCTGATTATTTCCAGATCAAGTCATCATGCAAAAGTTAAAATGCTTCAATCAATTCCCCACAACCAAAGTAGTACAAGACAATATATATTTAACCTGAGGTCTCCATGATGTAAGCTTCAGTTTTCTTATACCTACGGACATCGTCAAATGGAAAACACAATTCCAAAAAGCATGCCTTCCATCTGACAAATCCAGGGATAAAATCTCAATTGCTGGCACCTTGGTTATGGCTTCCATCGAGTACCGACACCACCCATGATCTACACAATCAACACGGTCTCATAAACATAAATTTAGCAAAAGACAAAGGATCAAATTAAACTTTCAACACTCTATAGCCAAATGCATGTTGAAAATGAAAAATATTCATGACTGGAAAGAGTATCTATAAAAAATAAAATCAGATTATGGGCCTCAACTTTTTATTTTACTATGCTATAAGGAAATGTAGAAACCATAATACTTCCTAAACACAACCAATAGCACACTGAATTTTTCATGCTAATAATTGAAAGATGGAGATTAAATATGCCCAATGATGGAGATTAAACCTGTAGCCTCAAGAAGCTACAGGTGACATGCTGACAGCTACAAGACCTGAGCGAAGCAACATGAATCTGAGTTTTGCATAGGCAGAACAACATAAATTATCAGCAGTGTCTTACTCTATATTCCTCCCATTTATGCAGACCCAAAACCTCCAAAATATCTCATATTTCACTACAACAGTTGTTACAATACTTAAAATGATAAATTTTCTGAATGAAGAATCACGTACACTACCAAAGTATTTTAATAATGTTGTGTAAAGGTCAAAGAAATTCAAAACCAAAACATGCTTCATGGATGGATTTGATTACAATAACCTCGAATCAAACAACCCATAAAAGATTTTTGCTGGAAGCATAAGTTGATCAACCTATATTTTGAATGCCATTGTCAATTAAACTCAACTTAGGCCCCCTTTGATTCAAAGGAAATTCATAGGAATTTTAGATGATTTCAGTCTTATAGGAATTTTTCCTATAAAGCCCTTTGAATCAAATGAATGAACCCTATGGAATCCTATGAAATTCCTATGGAATGCCTCTTCCCATATAAGTTTTGAAGGAATTTTAACAAGAGGTGAACCTTGTGGAAAAAAATCCTTTGAGTCTTTATTTCTCCTCAAATTCCTATGTTTTTCCTGTGGTCCAATCAAATGATCATTCCTACGTTTTTCCTGTGTTTTGCAATTCTCTGTTTTACACTTACATTCCTGTCAGAATCATATGTTTTTCCTATTCCTCCGTTTTTCTATTCCTGTGATTCAAAGGGGCCCTAATTTGTACAGATGTATATAGGAAAAAGCAACAGAAACCGATGTATTCTAGCAAATCCTCTGTCAGATTGAAGAGTTAAGAAATATATATTTATTCATAAAAATGGCCAATACTTTTTCTATGAAAGGCTACCTTTCTAAAATGGTTCATTCCGGATAGTTTCTAACCAGATTCTAAGCGGCCAGAAACCCTGCTCCTTACACTGACATTTCTATCTATCAGCACCTTATGACATTACTACAAATCAGTTCAATTCACTCCAACGAATCTAACTGCATGTGCTTCTTCAACAAGTTCTTTATCCTATCCCAACTTGAAAGCAAAAGACATCTAAATCACACAGGCTCAAAACCAGACTGTCGAACAAATTGCAAATGTCTTCAAAAGATTTGAGATGACAACAAAATTGAGTTAACTGTCCATAAATTTACATATTTCAGTATAGCCGTAAGATCCAAAAATATGGCTTTGCCCAGGTTGAGATGGAGATAGACCAAAGGAAGGAGAAAACTCACTGTATCGTGGTCACCAGCCATGAACATGTCTCAGCCATTAGTGCCTACAAATTCCAGTTTGATTGATTTGCTATGTTCTATCACATTAAATTCTTGAAGCAAGAACAAAGCTCCGCTATATATGATATGACTCGTGCTGCTCTGTTTTTTTTTTAAGATAAAGGATTTATATAAAACCCGGCTTCTACATCCCGAAGAATGTACACAGCCAATCAAGTCCATACAAGAGCAAGGCTCCTCCCATTACATTGCTCTGTTTGTAAGACTTGTTTTCCAACCTGCTGCTTATGCTGTGTCTCATGATCTGTTTCAGTTTTTTTGGTGAGAGCATGCACGATGATGGCAGCTTGGTGTTGGCCTACTACAAGGATGGAGCCACCGACCCAACCTTCCTGTACTTCTCTCATGGGCTGAAGGAGGTCAAGTGCCGAGCTGTTCCTTCTGCTCGACACTGGATGTTTTATCTACGCAGTCCGCCGTATTTTTGGTCTAGTCTATGGTTGTCAGTTGACTCGTTATGGTCCAATGTTGGTGTCGGAAACAACTATCGTTTGCCTGTTATGGATGCTGAGATGAGTCCTTTTTTTTAAAAAAAACCTCCGGATTATTGGATTCATGAGCTCCTTAATTTGCTTTGTGATGGCTGGAGAAAGATAATGGTGAATTTGTTGTGGTTATTAGCTATGTAGCTTAACTTGAATACATGCCTTTGTTGTGTTCTGTGAGGCCATGGAGGTTTGACATCTATGGATGATGAGCCTGATGCAAACCTTTGAGAAGCAACCTCTCCAGATGCAGGAGATCTATGCATGCGTATCGTCGCCAGGATATCCTTCTCACCTGCTACTCCACTGTGTATCGTCGCCAAAGCTGTTACTAGATTTGCCTGAGCAATTTCACAACTTATTTGCATGTTACAATTGGGATAACCTTTTTTTCTTCTTTCCCCGAAACATGGGCTATACGAAGGGTAATTGGAGTTCTTTACCTGTAACAGAACCCAAATCGAGCGAAACATTGTGCAGATAGGTTTACAAACCAAAAGATCATAAATCCAACACATTTCAGTGATATAGCGGCCTTTAATCGATAGCAACTCACTGGTTTTATGCTGCTTTAAAAAGAGGCAGCCTGAAATTTCTGAGCCTCTGAACCCTGCAAACCATAAACAAGCATGAACTCAGATTCTACCTGATCAAAACTTTGTTTCCTATAAACCGGTATCTCATAAGAAAATTTCTAATGCACTAAGAAATTTGAGACCTCAAAATCCTGTCACTATTGATTCTTCTCATTACTACCTCCGTTCTAAAATGTAGCAACCTAGGATGGGTCCCATCCTAGGACTACGAAGCTGAACATGTTACTTTCCATTTCTCATCGGAAAGCTAATCTTTGTCAGATTGCAGAATAGCTAAACATGAGTTTTTTTTGGCGGGGAAGCTAAACATTAGTTAAATCGATCTCACAGTATAGACCATGGCTTAACTGTGTAAACATTGCAAAATCTGTTATTGCCATGGCTCACATGCTCAGCATTGACTTGCCAGTTGCCACAAGGTCAAGGAGCTTAATTAGGCTTACCATGATGGACACAGTTGCAGTTTTGCAGACAAGATTGGCAGATTGCTATGGCCTCCAATATTTACAGTGCCATATCTCAGCTGCAATATCATTAATCTGGGGAGCAAGTCCGGAGTGGATTATGCATGCGTCTATTTCCTGTAAATTTCATTACTGGGGAACACACTCCAGGAGCTTGTATTGGAGCCTATTATCAGCTGACACTATCTTGTCAAGTTCATCAGACTATCTGATACTTGGCATCAGTGACAGCAATGCTGCTGCTGCTGCTCCTGATGTCTGAACTTGGTTCAGAATTCATCTCCTTTTCTTTCTTGCTGTCTTGCTTGATGTTGAAAGTGCAGTATGATTAAAATACATTAATTAACTTCAGAGGGAACACCATTTTCACTCCTGATAATGCGCAATTTGTACATTAAAAATTGCCCATGATCATCATACATCCATACACAACGAGTGTTAGTTGCAGAGATCATGGACACACACATGGACCTATGGCATTTTTAACGAAAAAATTGCAGAACTCCCCATGTTCAAGTTGCACATATATATTCGATTAGATGTCTTTGGACGTGTTATATTTTCCAATTTCCCAAACTTCTACCCCATTATTTTTCACGCGCAATGATGTGTTAATTCATTTGTTGCTATTGATAAGTTACTTTAAAAAATCATATTAATTCATTTTTAAACTTTTTAACTAATATTTAATTAATCAATGATGTGTTAATCCGCAACTTCATTTCATGCGTTGGAAGGGAGTGTTCCGAATAATAGGAAAAAAAAACCCGGTTAGATTAGCTCGATTTGAAATCAAATTCAAAAAATAAAAAATCGAACCAAATACAAGTTGTTACTACATCCGTTCCATATTACTTGTCGCTTTGAGTTTTTTTAAAAAAAAATTTGATCATTCGTCTTATTCAAAAAAAATTTAAATTATTATTTTTTTTGACTTGCTTTATTATCAAAAGACTTTAAGTATTACTTATCTTTTTTATATTTACACAAAATTTTCAAACAAAATTTTCAAATAAAACGAATAGCCAAACGTTAGAAGGAAAAAGTCAAAGCGACGCTATTGTGGGACGGAGGAAGTACATGCCAACCGCTTGTGGGGCCCACCTCGATACACACACCGACCAGACCAGACCAGACCAGACCAGAGCCAAGAGAGAGGGAGACGCGTCACCACCCTTCCCTTCCCACCACTTTCCTTCTCTCCTCCGATCTCCTCGCGCGAGTCTCCCGCCTTTCTCTCTCCCCTCCCCTCGTCGCCGGCGGATTCTCCGGCGAGGTCGCCGCCGCCGGTGTCCGACCCCGCGGCGCCTCCCCCCCCTCGGCCCGTCCAATGGAGGGCATCGAGGGGCTCCTGGCGGACTTCGGCGTGCGGCCGCAGGGGAAGGCCGCGCCCATGGCCGCCTCCCGCTCCCGCTCCACCACCACCACCGGATCCGCCTGGCCCAACCCTAGATCCACCCCAGCGCCCGCGCCGTCCTACGACGGGCTCTTCGGCGCGCCCCCCTCCGCGGCCGCCACCACCACCACCTCCTCCCCGTTCGACTCGCTGTTCAATGGCCCTCCTACTTCCTCCTCCTCCTCGTCGTCGGCGGCGGCGAGGGCCACGGTGTACGACGACGACATCTTCGGCGCGGTCCCGGGGCTGAGGCCGAGCTCCAATTCGGCGTCCTCCTCCTCCGCGGCGCGGTACGACGGCGACGACGTGTTTGGGGGTGGCCGGCGCGCGGCGGCGTCCCCCGCGTTTGATGACGTGTTCTCCAGCAACCGCTCGGCGGCGGCGCCTTCGTACGACGACATACTAGGTGGGTTCGGGGTGAAGCCGCAGGCGGGGGAGGAGAAGAGGTCGGTGGTGGTTGAGGACGACGACCTGCTCGGGGGGTTCGGGAGGAAGCCACATTCGGAGGCGGAGAAGAAGCCGGTGGTGGTGGAGAAGGCTAATGGGGGCAACGGATTCGATGATCTGATCCCGGGGTTCTCTGGGAGCGGCCCGCAGAGGAGTAGGTGAGCAAGTTGAAAGCCTTTGTTCATTCAGATCTGCATTGGGCATGAGTTTAAGTTCATTTGGATCAGAACCTTAGATGATGTCATTTTCAACGAACTGAACTGGAATGTGCAAGCTAGATCCAATTTTTTTGGAAATGTTGCTGACTTGGGAGTACAATTTTACTTACATTGGAGGAAATCTTGTTATTCGTGTTCTCCACGTGCCTTACCATGTTACTACTTGCTACTCCAGCTAACCTTAAAAAAAAGTTAAAACCAGCTTGTGTGTGTAAAGTTTATCAATGAAATGTAAGAAAATTTTGTGTGTACCAATCATAGTGTGTGTAACATGGAGAGGCCTGGGCCCTAGAAGAAGCAAAGGAGAGCAGATGAGAAATAACAGTAGGATTATAGAAAGCTTCAGATACACTTGAGTAGTTGAGTGTAGGCCGTAGGGTTAGAATTGAAAATTTTGCTGAAGTGTGATAATTTTATGCCATTTCCTTATACAAAAAAAAGTATAGGGTATGTTTATAGTATTAATTTCCCGTCATGCCTTGCTCTTGTTAGATTAGTTATGTGCTTGGGTGGTGATTCTTGCTTTTAAGTTGATAATATGTTTCAGTCATTGTGTTTCCTTATCCAGTTGACTCAATAGCAATATGTTCCATTCTTGAAATAACCACTTTTGTACTGCATAAGGCTATGCCATTACATATGCATTGTCAACCTGTGAGAGGTTCAACTCCCGTTGTTGCCTAATGAATATCTTTTATATTTATTTGGATGGATGAGGAAGGTTCATCCTAATTATTGTTTCTACCAAAGCTTACGATGAATAATACATGTCCATATCTCACAAGCCGTGTGATTGAAAATGGTGTCTGCCATAAACTTCCAATGTTTATGCAAATAACCTGTTTTTTTCCTCTAAATCTTCTTAGTGTTTTGCACTATCTCCTGATAGTGATCATGTTTTTGTAGGTTTTCTCACTTTCATTTTAATTTTCAGGAAGATTATTGATGATAACAAAGATGAGCCAGCAGTTCGAACTTCTAAATCAACAGCCAGTGTATTAGATGATGACCCATTTGTTGTTCTAGAAACAAATTCTGCCTCAGGTTCAACATATCCATCCCCTAGCAGCTTCATGGATCCCTTGGAACATCTGAATAATTCTGCAAGCTCTAAAGGCAAGAATGTTGATAATACTACTGATAATGATAGTCTGCCTGATGATTCAAGTGCCTTTAACCAGGTTCCAAAATCAGATCCTTTGTTTACCTCAGAATTCAATGGTGATACAAAGTATATGAATCCACCAAGCAAAGCCCGAGACTCAAACCCTCTACATGGTTCAATGAATGGAAATTCAGCACGGGGATCTTCTACGGAGGACTTAGGAGATGCCAAGACAAAGTCACAGTCTGCAAGGTACTCTGATATTTATGTCGATGGCTCAAGTTCAGACAGATATGCTACTGATGGCGTTGGGGATCAGTCACCAAGATCTACTGAATCCGAAGATGACATATGGCTTACAGTTTCTGAAATTCCCCTCTTCACACAGCCAACTAATGCTCCACCGCCCTCAAGATCACCACCTCTTCTTAAACAAAGACCTCTGCAAGCAAAAGCTAATGGTAATTATGATGGGTATGTGCGGCAATCAAACCAAAATCACAACCAATACAGAGACATGCCAGATCAAGCAGAGGTTTCTTCACTAGATGAGATGGAAGGTTTTGCGAAGGACAAGTCCCAAATGCCTTCTTATGACGACAATTTTTTTGGTGAAGCTGAACAATCTGAAAGAACTTCATCAGATCGTGAAGAGAAAGAGAGGCAGGCCAGATTGGAGCAGGAACAGGAAATGAAACTGATGGAGGAAAAGAAGAGAGAACAGAGACGACTTGAAAAGGAGAGAGAATTGGAACAGCAGAAAGAAAGAGAAAGACAAGCCATGGAGAGGGCCACAAAGGAGGCCCGAGAGAGAGCATCTGCTGAAGCTCGTGCAAAGGCTGAAAGGGAGGCCACCCAGCGTGCACAGCGCGCTGCTGTGCAAAGGGCTCAACAGGAAGCTCGTGAGAGGGCTGCAGCTGAGGCTAAAGAAAAAGCTGCAAGGATTGCTGCAGAAGCAAGGGAGAGGGCTGCATCTGAAGCCAAGGAGAGAGAGAGGGCTGCAGCAGAAAGAGCTGCTGCCGAGAGAGTTCAGCAAGAAGCAAGGAAGAGAGCTGAACGTGCTGCAGTGGAAAGAGCTGCTGCTGAGGCTCGGGAAAGACAGGCAGCTGCTGCAGCAGCTGCTGCTAGAGAAAAACAGAGCTCAGCAGATGATCTTGAGTCTTTCTTTGGTGCGGGTGCCCGAGCAAATAGTGCGCCAAAGCAGAGGACTCCAACAGTGGTGAGTACATCCCCCGAAATATGATCATCGAAAATTGTGTATTGATGACATTTAATGTGTTACTTTTTGCTAATTTGATGTTTCAGGATTCTATGTTTGATTCTCAACCTCAATCTAGAGCAACCACGAATGGATCACAGAGATCAGCCTCCACCTCAGCATCTATGAGAAAAGCCCCGTCAGCCACAAATATTGGGGATGATCTATCTAATTTATTTGGAGGTACTAGTCTTCCCTAACTAGCAGTTTTTCTAACTGCAATTATATGGTTTCCTATATTTGCAGTGTTTTTAATCCACATGTTCTTTCTTGTTTTTCTTCAGCCCCTGCATCATCTGATGTATTCCAAGAAGTTGAGGGAGAGAGTGAAGAAAGAAGACGTGCTAGATTAGAACGCCATCAGAGGACCCGTGAACGAGCGGTAATGTGATTTCAATTCCAAACTAGAAAAGAAGATTAGAAAATAGAATACTCATTATTTCAGTAGATGTCACCACTGATCTATTTGGCTAATTATGTATAACAGTATCACTTTCTCTAATTATAACTAAATGTTGGACATCTCATTCTTTATTTTTCTTATTACTGTTCGTCATGCAACACTCCAGGCAAAAGCTCTGGCTGAGAAGAACGAACGGGATATGCAGGTTCAGAGGGAACAGGCAGAAAGAGACGTGAGTGTCATGTTGTCCATATACTTGACAGCTTAATTTTTCTTAGTTGAAGTAAATAGTCTTCATTTTCTTCTGATCTATTTATTTCAATTTTTTCATGGATTTGCTAGTGCTTTTGTTTTAGCTGCATGGTAATCACAGCTTTCTTGCGTACTAATACTAGTTGGTGCTATTGGTGCTGTTGGCACTTTCTGAATTCCAGAGAATTGGGGACACACTAGACTTTGAAATCAGGAGGTGGGCAGCTGGAAAAGAGGGCAACTTACGTGCTTTGTTATCAACTTTACAATATGTGAGTCACTGATGCTATTGTAACTGAAGCTACTCTCAATGTGTTCCTATCTAGTTTATTGGTTTTGGATGCTATGCATTGCTCCATTACGTAGAGATGCTCAATATTTCCATCTGCATGTTAATGATTATCTTTTTAATTTTGACTTAACATTATGTCCTACCTAGTGAATGTGTTACACTCCCTTTATATTTTCCTTTTATGGATATCCTACTCCCATTTGAGACCCTGTAATGATTTCAATTGCAAGTTCTTTGCATGACTAAAGTTTCCCAAATTGCTTTTGGACTTTATCTAACCTAATTATGGTATTTATTAATATCAAAGCTGGTAACCTGGAAGACCAGTTTTTGGTCAGTGGACCGTACTAGCAGCTAAATAGTTCTCATAGCCATAGAAGTATAGAACTGGTTTAGGTATAATACTATAATACCATTCACCTTTCAACTTTCAAGTATGAAAGTGCAATTTACTTATCAATAAAGTAAGTTTTCTCTATTAATATATTCTTGATAATCCACATCTCAATATAACACTGACAAATTTCATGTGGTTATGATTCATTTATCTTTTCAACTGCCAGTAGTTTCTTTGAAGCATGTGACAAATGGAAATCTAGATTAACCAGTATCAAACATTAAATTGAAAATTGTGTCATATGAATTGCTCATTTAATTCAATACTTCAGTACAGGCTATTCTGAAATCTTTCATCTATTAATACGTATCTTGTTTGTAAACAGATACTTTGGCCAGAATGTGGATGGCAAGCAGTATCCTTGACTGATTTGATTACTGGCGCCGCTGTTAAAAAGCAGTACAGAAAGGCAACATTATGCATCCATCCTGACAAGGTGCAACAGAAGGGTGCAAATCTTCAGCAGAAATATACTGCAGAGAAGGTGTTTGATATTCTTAAGGTGTGTATAGTATCACTGCATCGCAACAAATATTGAAATGCCATATGAAACTTCAATATTTCACGCAGAAGAACTATCATTATTGCACACTGGCAACTAGCAAGTAATAATATGCTAAATAGGGTAAATTGATTTGCTAGCCGTAATTGGTTTAATTCAACATTGCACAGTAACTTCCCAACATGTGATGCATCTAAAGTGGTTTGGGATTTAATGGAGTGATGTTGGTCTGAAGTATAAAGTCAATACATAGAGTAAAATCTAGTTTCAATGCAGTTTGTGTTAGTTCACCTGTATAGCTGGATGGTAGTCTGGAATCTACTGTCTGCTTCAGCTGATTTTACACTCGAAAATATACTTGTTTGTTTCAACCCAGATTCTACCTGCACATACAGCTCTCGATCTAGTAGATACACCTTAACATAGGAACTGATGTTTCAGAGTACATAATCTGTACTTATATGTAGCCCCAAAATCTAATTTTGTTTCTATTCATTCAAGTTGACCATCAACATTGCAGTCTATATCTCTTATTAAATTCCCAACAAATCCATAAGGCCTCATTTGGATGATTAGACCTAACAAAGTGCTCCCTATGGGCTCAATTTGCTGAATGCACCTAAGAGCTCTGGCATGAAGTTGTATTGTCAAAATGATCCGGTAATTGATTTTACCTTTTGTAACAACTAAGGTTAAGTTGGCATTCCATGTTACCTTTTTCTGATCATTCATTGTTTCTCTTGCTCATCATGCTATTGCTGTTTATAAGTCTTATATTTTATTAGATGTCTGCCGTTCACTTATCTTCCACCGCATTTGCATAAAACAGGAGGCATGGAACAAATTCAACTCTGAAGAGCTCTTTTAAACCATCCACCATATGAATGGATATAAATGTTCAGCCTAACTATACCCACATGAAGAACTGGAGGAACAAAGCAGAGAAACGGTGCAGTGATCAAGTGAAAACTCTGCTATAATTACAGTACTATCATTGTTTCGTTCTTACACCCTTACCATTGTGTTTTGCTCTCATGATCGTATTTGTTCACTCCATTATACTTCGAATCTTCAAGACTTGTACTTATACCTCACACGGGCAACGGCGGCGGTGTACATGGATGTAGCTTCTTCTTCTTCTTCTTCTGTTCATTGGATTAGTAATGGCACGGTTCTTTGGGAAGGCTTTTATACAAGCATATTAATAGGGTAAAGATACGTGTACAAAAAATTCTTTTACAAATACTTTACAAATGTTATTGTGGACCGCTGTATTGAATCTTGATTCCTATAGCTTTCTAACTGATTAAATCCAATGGTTGAGAATTTTGTTTGCAAGAAGTTCTTGAGGTATACTCTATCCATTTCATATTATAAGTTATTTTGACTTTCTTTTTTGCTAGTTAAATTTTTTTAAGTTTGATCAAGTTTATAGAAAAACATAGTAGTATTTTTCAAACAAAATAAACATATTATTAAAAATATATTTAATGCTAGATTTAATGAAACTAATTTGGTGTTTTGAAAGTTGCTAATTTTTTCTATAAATTTGGTCAAACTTAAAAAAGTTTGAATAGAAAAAATTCGAATCGATTATTACACCTCAAAGCATTCAATTTTGAAGAAAAACCATCGTTTCGCTGGATAATTACGAACAAACCATATTTTCAAAACGTAAGTCAAACACCAAGTTAACTAGTTAAGTCAATATACTTTCGAAAAATTTCAAGCATCAAAGTAATTTCATTAAAATCCACCCAAAAGGATGTCTTGGTAGTGCAATTATTCAAAGCCAAAGCACTTCAAAAATATGGAAAGGAAGGAGTAGGCTCTAAAACGTGAAAAGAACGAGGTCCTTCTCGCGAAAAAGCCACGCACTCCACCGAACACCTCCACCTCTCCACGCCCTCCCTCCCTCCCTTCTCTCTCTCCCGCGCGTGACGACGAGGAGACTCCTCCCACCGAATCGAACAACCAGCGTGCTCTCTCCTCCGAATCCGCCGTCGACGATGCCATCCGCCGCGGCGGGCGACGGCAAGGGTAAGCGGCGGTTAGTGGGGATGCCGCCGGCGAGGGCGGCGGCGGCGGACTTCGCGATGGGCGGGGCGGCGGCGGTGGTGGCGAAGACGGGGGCGGCGCCGGTGGAGCGGGTGAAGCTGCTGCTGCAGAACCAGGCCGAGATGCTCCGCCGCGGGAGCCTCACCCGCCCCTACAGGGGCATCGCCGACGCCTTCGGCCGCGTGCTCCGCGAGGAGGGCGTCGCGGCGCTCTGGCGCGGCAACCAGGCCAATGTCATCCGATACTTCCCCACTCAGGTGAGGTGCTCGATCCGCTTCCTTCCCTCCAGCTCAAATCATTTTTTCACTTCGATCGATTGCTTTGCTCCCGGATATTGCTCGCTCGATGCTCTCTTATTATTGGTATTATATATATTGATTGATTGATTGATTGGTGTGAGGCCAACATTTTGTGTTAATTACCGAATTAATTAGGTTTAAACAAACCTGTGCATCTAACATGGATTACCATTTTTTTCCCCAGCGAACGAACCAATGAGTGGTGGTTGTGGTTGTACTCCCGCTTCCACATGTTTTTGTATGGCATTAGTTGTGCTCAGCTCTATCTGGTTGCTCTTCTCCTCACCACAGAATGTCATAATCTATTGACTATTGTGCCTTTTGTCAATTCCAAAAAGAACTTAGCACAAGCGAATTTGAATGGTTGTGATCTCATCAGTTAGCCGTGAAAGGGCCAAACATAGAAACATTTATCAGTAGAGCAAGTCTTCAAAATAGACAAAACTAGGTAAATGCTCGCTTGTGCCAACCATATGAACAACAGACCAAAGGATTAAGTCTCACACGGTCGCATGTTTATAATGAATCGTAATGCAGTTGAGCTATATAAGGAACCCTTGTTATCTGTATGGCTACTTATTATATAGCTGATGTTAGATACTTAGATGGTTGCTATTGCCAAAGGAAAAAGAAAGAAAAACTCAATATTTCTACTTTTGCTATTATTTTCTGAAGGTTCTGTGCAATATATAATAACAGCAAAAACTCCATTCATGTTCAATTATCAAGCATGACCCTCAGAACATGTACATACCCTTTACTCATTGAATGGATGAATAAAGCTGTTATCATTGAAAAACCTCATGAGTTACGATTCGAAACTAAAACGAATCCTCACCTGTGTGTTTTCTGTTCAGGCTTTTAACTTCGCATTCAAGGGCTACTTCAAGAGCATCTTTGGCTACGACAAGGAGAAAGACGGAAAATGGAAATGGTTAGCTGGCAATGTAGCATCTGGCAGTGCTGCAGGGGCTACAACCTCATCCTTGCTATATCATCTGGATTATGCACGGACAAGGCTAGCTACTGATGCAATTGAATCACAGGGAAGCAAACGTCAGTTCAGTGGGCTGCTTGATGTCTACAAAAAGACACTTAAAACTGATGGTATTCGTGGATTATATCGAGGTTTCAGTGTGTCCATTGTGGGTATCACTCTATATCGAGGTCTCTATTTCGGAATCTATGATACCATGAAGCCTCTTATTCTAGTGGGACCACTGCAGGTAACACTAACACCATTCTTGTGACACATCACAGAGACGTTTCAGCTAGATCATGTAGCATCTTTAACTTCTATTGGTTTATATTCTAGGAAAATTTCTTCGCCAGTTTTGCCTTGGGCTGGGCAATAACTACGTTCTCTGGAGCCTGCGCCTATCCATTTGATACACTCCGTCGCAGAATGATGTTAACTTCTGGGCAGCCATTGAAATATAAGAACGCCTTCCATGCAGCAAAACAGATAGTTTCTACTGAAGGGTTCTTCACACTATTCAGAGGGGTCGGCGCAAATATTCTCTCAGGAATGGCAGGAGCTGGAGTTCTTGCTGGGTATGACCAGCTCCACCGGTTTGCAGGTCAACATGGTTACAATTTTGAGAGCAAGATGAAAGGGGCATTGAAATGATGTGCAAATGGGGATAAATAGAGGCATATCCTTGGTTGAAGTTTGGATTGGCCAAATGGGATGTATGAGCTTGGATAATCAAGCGGGCGAAACAGAACTCCAGATACTCCTGCAGTTGATAGGATTGACGGCGAAGAGAACAGCTTTTGCAGGATGTATACTTTCAAGGAGCGGAGATGAAGTCAGAATCAAAAGATAGCTCTTGCGGTAGAAAGAATGTCAATAATTCTGAAACCTGATTCTTGAAGTGTGAATATCGATCGAAAGTTAGATCGTACTCGCGCTACCAATGCCTTGATGTGAACTGTAAATAGAACTTGTGGAATTGCTCCATTGAATAACCTTTCTGGTGTAGTATACCACATTTGTACTACTGTATAGCCAAAAACAAATTAATAACAAACCTCTGGGTGTTCCGAGGATTGGAGTCGGGTCCCAAAGCGAGAATCATACCATCAGAATCTTTCACACCATCCTGTTTATAATGGCCCGCAGGAAATCAAGATAGTTGATTCGACCAAAAGAGATGTACCATCTTGATTCGTCCGTTGATGGTGTTATTCTTTTACACTGTATAGATATACCTAGATTGTATTTTTGATCTGTGATCTGATTTAGATTATTCTTGTACACTATGCAAAACATTCTCTGGCTTAAACATAGAATGCATATTACCTTTGTGGTGCTTCCTTGTCTAGGCTGTCTTATGAACTTGGCTGGCTTATGATGCATTACTGAGCTGAGCTGTAGTTTCTTTGAGGCTGTTAGCCATGAGATCAACCCATATTTATGCAGTTAGTTGTTTGACACGAACTTAATCATCAGTAGTATAGTGCACTACTGATTTGTGCTGAGGTGAAACAAAATTAAATCTTTTTGAAGGTGCAACCGGCTCATATTTCTCTGTACGGTCCAGTAGTAGGTTATATTATTTGCAATCGCTTCAACTGCAGTTATAATTCAATACTCCGGCATGATCCACTAGATAATCTATCAGCTCAAGATATATATAGAAAAAAAATTAAGACGCAAAGACGTCTTAGTTCCTCCTTATAATGTCAACAACCCATGGCTAGTCAGAATCATTATACTGTCGACAACAGGACAATGTTCTTATTCCCATGTCCTTTGATTTCAACATGTACAGAGGTACACAAGGACTATATGCTACTACAGCCAAGGATGCAGAAGAGGGGGGAAAAAAAGAGGTGGCATTGGGGTAAGGCAATGATAACATTACAAGTTAACTCGAGCAACAAACAGCTGACAAATAAACCTGAACTGGTTTCAGTACACAATTTAATTACACGATGGAGGACGAAGGTAGGGCGGCCGCTGCTCCTGAAGGGAGAAGAGGAAAAAACCCGACTGGTTTTGGCCGGCCAAGTCGCGAAGCGCTTGCCAAGAGGGGTGGTATAGCGACTGTACAATATCAATATGGCAGGGTCTTAATCTCTCTCACATGTTATGATGGAATCGCTCTCACATGAAGTAGCTCAGTGCTTTCTTCTTCCTCGAACCGCCCTCGCCATATAGGTCGTTCCATTGAAGAAGTTCATTCATGTTTGCTGAATCAGATGAAACGCTTGCACAAACCTGTGGTAAATAAATTGATCAGATTATGAACTTTCAAGTAAAGAGCTCAAAATAAATATAAAATGTGCTGGTCTCACCTGCTCATGGGCAGATTTGAAATCATCTAAGGTCAGAGGACGAATGTCCTCACTACCATACAATGCAGGCTCAGGCCTGCCTTCTGCTTTTGCCACATTTTTCTCCTGAATAGAAAGGAAGCGAACCCCATATTAGCATATAAAATAAAAAGCGTTGTCACTTAACAGTATAATTGTAGTAGAAGAATAAGGAGTGCATCTAAAGACAGCATAAACCCAAAAAACAAACTTTATCTAGGTCTTCAGTTGACAGCAAGGTACAAGCAATGCCAACCTTCTTTTCCTTCTCAAGGATTTCTCGAATGGGGTAATGAGCTGCGGTCACGCATAGATTCTGGGAACACAAGCAAGTCAGTGAAAATTGTGCAACCATTTCCAATCACTTGTGTTATTTGGGAAGCGCATCATTATCAAGCATACCTTCAGGTCACTTCCTGAATATCCATCGGTCATAGTGGCAAGAGAATCCATATCAATACCTGGAGCCAACTCTTCCTTTGCCAATATTACTTTCAGAATCTTTTCTCTATTCGATGCGTCAGGTAAGTTAACCATTAACCTACAGTAGTAATTAACGACCAAATGGTTAGAAATCAACAAACAGCAATTTTTCATTATCCCAACCCCAACACAAGGTTATAGCTGTCACCTGCGCGGGAACCTCCTAATGACAGCCTCATCCAGGTCGAAAGGCCTATTTGTGGCACCAAGAACCAGTACACGTTCTTTATCTTTAGTGCGTAATCCATCCCAATTCACCATAAATTCGTTTTTCATCTTGCGCATCGCTTCATGCTCCCCTGGATTCTCTCTCCTTCCTAGCATACTATCAACCTGCCAAATGTTGCATTTTGTATGGATCATACCGTGACCAAATAAATCACTAATGACAATAAAACCAACCCACATGCTCAAGCATACCTCATCAATGAATATAACGCTTGGAGCTATTTTACTTGCTAATGAGAAAACAGCTTTTACATATTTCTCTCCTTCGCCAAACCACTGAAAGTAGAAAAAACAGCATTTAGCTTTGAGAATCACATAGTACACTGTACACCTCATTAATGCAAAATTTGGATGCCATCATACCTTCGATGTAATGCTTGACATTGATATGTTAATGAAGTTAGCACCTGCTTCAGTTGCTACTGCCTTAGCAAGCATGGTTTTCCCAGTACCAGGAGGTCCAAACAGCAATATTCCCTTGCAAGGCTGCAAGTAACAGATTTACCAGAGGCAATTTTTAAGATAGGACTTAAATAGAGAAAATTAGGTAGCCAACATATAATACTCCATCCGTCCCAAAATATAGCAACCTAGTACTAGATTGGGATGGAGGAAGTACTGACAACCAAATTTCCCACATGTCTAATTAACTTAAATTTACCCATTCACCACTAAAAAATTGAACAAGAAAACCTAAGACAAGTAACGCTGCCGAATTGGCATAATGTGTTAGAACAGAACTTTGGAGAACAGAGGAAAATAACTTATTATAGATTTCACTACTGTTAGGTGAGAAAACATCATGGGTTCATTACTAGCCAACAGAAACTTAATCACATCATGGGCCTTATTACTTGACAAAACACTCTAATCAAGTGCGCAACCTATAATTGAGATAGAACAATCTTACACCCGCATATGAGACATGGATAATTCATCATAACGTCTCTACCTTCGTTAGCTGTCCTTTGCAGAACAATTCAGGCCTTTGCAGAGGAAGCATCACCAGCTCCTTCAATGTGTCTTTTACATTTTCCAAGGCTCCAATATCATCAAAGGTGACTCCAATGTCATTAGGTGGTATAACATCTGCCAGAAGCCTTTTCTCAAATTCGTTCTCTGTGACAACATCCTAAGAAGGAAAAAGTAATTTAAGAGTAAAGCACTGTGAGATTCCAACTGTGTGAGTATGATAATATGTTTGCAATATGATGAGATGGAGAGTAACCTTCAGTGATTTTTTTGAGCTCTTGTTATCACTTTGCATATTCTGCAGCATGTTGAGCCCATGCTTAAGGCTGTGATACAGAAGAATTAATTTAGCATTATAGAAGATTCATTAAAAGGAAATGGAGGAAAAATAAACTAGCAACAGTATAACTACCTTTCGCTCGCCAATACAAGTTTACCATCCTTGGAGATCTCGACTTTATTGTGCTTAAGGTGATAACTAACAGCATAGCCAACTATCTTGTCCACATCTAAGAAATTTTGGAGCAACACAATTTAACACACAGAATTCCATGGATAAAATGCTAAGACAACAAGAAAATGCTCACTTTCGTTGGTCAGTGATTGATCTTTGATGAATAATTCTTCAAGGTCACTGCATTCAATTCCATTGCGGCTCAGAAACTGCAACACAAAGCAAACGAAATTCACATAAATAGCTAGCAAGCATTCAACAACTATAAGCATAGGAGAATCAAATACAGGCCATTCGGGCAGTGGAATAGAAGTCATTTAAGAGGGTAAATATATACATCATAATTGACAGCGAGAGAAAATAAAACATGTAGGAGTAACTACAGAATTATAGAAAGGTGCCTTTATGCATGCATGATTGATCATTTGAGGGGAAAAGAGCAAAGTGTCGTTTAAAACAAAACACTGCTTAGGGTCTAGCTGTCTAGGCATCGCACACCTTTATGCATGCATGATTGATCATTTGAGGGGAAAAGAGCAAAGTGTCGTTTAAAACAAAACACTGCTTAGGGTCTAGCTGTCTAGGCTAGGCATCACACACAAGAAATTTCAGTTTCAAGAGGAATATACAGAATACACGGTTCAAAACCCAAAGTGCCAAGCATGATATGTGAAATTGTGTTATCTGCACAGCTTACCGTGCGAATGCTACCAACATTGGATTTAGCTTTAAGGGTTTCAACGTCACGATCCAGTTGTTGCTTCCAATCTGTGAGTAATGTTTCATCCTGCAAATTCAGTTGCTTGGATTAGATAATATACTTGAGCATAATACTTGAACAAGATAACAAGGGATATTAGCACCTGTGGAAGTTGGATCGAAATTTTGTTAGGGAAAAGTTTATTTAGATGTTTCATTGCCTTCGGACTTTCTTTGTTCCTTTCATGCAACCGACTACCAAAACTATCCTGCATTTTAGATATAACAATGCATCAGATAGTTATATCAGAACCATGGGTTCATATAGTGCATTTATAAGCACTGATAGAAAGAACATTGTGACCAATAAGAATGAAAATTGTTACCGGGAAAAGGTCAAATAGCGTCTGGCTGCTACTAGCAAACTTTGTAAAAAGAAATCCACCTGGGTGGGCCTACAACAGACACCATAGCACAACATCAGGATACATTTTATAGTGTACTTAACAAGCGATAAATGATAAGGATTAAAAATTAAAACAAAGATTGCATGCAAACGAACACCCAAGTGTCAAAGAGACAGAACCAACCAATTAGAACTGAATACCCAATGCCACCAAAGTTAGTTTTCACAACAGTTCAAATCAAATGAAAAAAAAAAGACAAGCTATGCAATGCCACATTGCCATAAACAAGCCCTCATAGAACAAATTTGCATAATCTCTGAGATATAATATATGTACCTTCTCTTTGCGGCTGTCCATTTGAGTGTGAGATCCTATAATAAGCACACCAGATGGAAGCGCTTCAAGCTTATTCCTCAAAGATGAAAGTGACTCTGTAATTCCAGTGAATGATTTCTCTACATCCTTAAGTAACACTATCATAGGGCCAGCTTTGTGTTCCTCTGAGATGACCTGACAGACAATCCATACAATTATGAAACAATAGAAAGAATACAAATTTATATTCGGATAACTCTGAGTTTTAGATAAGAGGCTGTACTTCAATTAACTCGGCCATTGCTAGCCTTTCAACCTCTTCACCACCAGAAAAGTCAGGGCGAAGTAAGTCAGCTGCAGAAACAAGAATTTATCAGAACCTGCAAGAACTAACATAATTTTTGGGATTCAAAAGTTTGAGCTAACCAGAGCAGAAGAAACCATGATCTTCCTCGCACAAACCACCAAGATCATTACCATCAGGGATCTGCTTGTCAAATCGAACTCCAATTTTGGAAGACCCATTTTCTTCAAAAGCAAGCATCACTCTGCCTCGATAACCATAACTGGGTCCCCTGAAAGGTCAATCAAATATTCAAATGATTTATAAAGAAAATAAATTGAAAGCATGTTATGGCTACAAAACTACTACCTCCGTTTTTTAATATATGACGTCGTTGACTTTTTGTCACACTTGACCATTCATCTTATTCAAAAAAATTACTTAATTATAATTTAGTTTGTTGTGAGTTGTTTTATCAGTCAAAGTACTTTAAGCATGATTTATATCTTATACATTTGCATTTTTTTTAATAATATGAATGGTCAAACATGTGTTCAAAAGTCAACGGCGCCATCTATTAAAAAACGGAGGGAGTATAGGTTTATCAAAAAGCGTGTCAAGCTAACTCTGATGTAACACAATAGGAGCAATGTAGCATAAGTAGAAAGTAAATCCTAGGTTGTTGGCTACGATACTCCAAGATTAAATATAATAAATTATATTCACTATTAAATATTGCATGTAAAGTTGTAAACGAAGTGCTAGAGAGCAATACAAATGATTTAGTCAAGAACAGGTGGACCTGCGGCCTAAAATGTTGTGAGACAACCCCAACTAGGGATGTCAAACACCGAAAAAAGTAGCTAAAAAACCGTATTTTCAGTGGAATTACTCTAAGAACTTGAATACAGTCAGGATTTTTAAAAAATACTTCCCCTATCCAAAATTGTATGTGCCAGAAAAACTAAATAGATTTTCTATTCAGTATTTTATATCATCCAAAACTATTCATGTTTGAATTTGAATTTGATCAAAGGCGACATGCATTTGTTGAGTTCTGTCTAACTAGTTGGGTATTTAAAAACACATGTTTCTTTTATTTCCACACTTCGTTACTCTAGGTTGGGAAATAGATATTTTTATACAACCAAATTGAGTGGGTGATATTTGTATTTGCATTTGTTGTAAAATTATGTTCGTATTTGTATTCTAGCATACCAACATTCTTATTTGTATTTGTTTATTTATGAATGTGGTCGTGAATTTCATCAAAATTATTTTGTGTGTTAAATGTAGGGGACAGACAATATCTTTCTCCCAAACCATCCAAAGAAACAACCAACCTAATGGCACATCCACAATGTTCATAGCATCAATGAGGTTTCGATGGAAAGACAAGGAAGAATCAAGCAATAAACTTTGGTTTAAATATCAGAGCATGACAATCAGTAAGATACCTTTGCGACAATGACGATTGCTGAGCTGGACCCACATATCTTACCCTATCCCCTACAATGGCAGTGCAGTCATGTTCGGGTAAGTATAGCATAGTTGAAAATGATCTATCGATAAACAAGAGATAATATCATAGTAGAAAACCTTCTCTAAAAGTATAGCTCTTGGATGTAGCTGTTGATGATTCCTGTTTGGGCAAAGATGCAGAATGCAGAGTCGATGTACCCACGATATCAGCATGCACACTAGAAGGTTGTACAGCTGGCCTCCTGAAGTGCATAGCGTCTGCCAAGGAAGAGCGGTTCTTATGAAGAATTGCCAACTTCTCACTACCAGCCTTATCCCCTGACTTATCAGACTTCGCAGCATCTTTCTGCGACTCTGGGTCCTTTGAAGGCGCCTAAAGAGAATTTTGCTCTCAATAATAATAATTGACACCAAGTAGTTTTAAGCACAAGTTACATGGATAACTTACCCCAGGCAACAAAAGCGAATCAACAACAAGTAGCCTAGCACCGAAATGTTTTGCAAGTGCCTTTATCAATGTTTCCTGATAAATCTCCGAACCTGATGCATGTTTGCATTAGAAAAATCAGATGCCTACAAGAATCAGCAAAAAAGGATGCACACAGCCTTACCTTCAAGGACCTCAATTTAACTCCGAAGACAATAAATATGCAATGAGATCATAAAAGGTACCTGCTGGACCAGATAATAGAATCCGTTGGTTTATTGATGAAATTTCTGAGAATTGTTTGATGAATTCCTTCTTTTCCAAGTGTATGAATGCACATGATAAGAGCACATTCTTTGTGTTATCGCTGCATGAAATGGAGTTGATGAACAACACATGAATACAAGAACACAAACATGTGAGAGAACAGATATCATGCTACAATTAAAGTTACGTCAGTGGAAGTCTGTAAGAATATGAACATGTGAGAGAGCAATGAATATCATGCTACATTTAAACTACTTTATCAACCGTGTTGTGCCTATTATCTAATGAATGCTATATTGGTATGAACTAATCATACAGAATATAGCGAATTAAGAATAACTAATGAATGCTATTTTAGTTTTTTTTTAACAATGTAACATCGCAGATATGAAGCATATTAAGAACACAAAATAAACAGAATAAAAGTTAAAGAATATAGGAAGGAAGATTAACCCAAAGTATATTACCTGAGGTAATAAGGAAAATTTTCAAATGTAACATCAATATCATTTGGACTAATAATTCCTTGTTTCATCCCATCCTTAAAGGCTTGGCATCTGCTTGGAGGTAAACTGGCTGAAGAGTTAAGATGCCTGATGAGATCCCTCTGATCTTCAAGAGCTTTAAAAAGATCACCAGTCAAATCGAACTCTGATATAGTTGTTCCTGCAATCATCCTCAGAACTGGCCTTATCTTATAAGTTGCAATCTTACCGATTTCAGCACCAAGATGAGCATCAGATCCAAAGCCATTGTGTTGACTGATGTCGTTCGGGACAGCATCAGGAGATACTACGGGGGCTGCAGCCACATCTAATGGAGAATCTTCAACATTAGAATTAACTTCATTAGCATTTTCCCCGTTCTCACATTCCTTGTCAGGGATGATGCCATTTCCTTTTGATTTATCAGAAGCGGATGATGCCATAGGTCGTACTAATCTCTGATTGTTCTCTCCAGCTGATGCAGGTGGTGCAGCTGATAGGTCCTTCAACTGATCAGATACGGATGCTAATAGCTCTGTCCCTGCAACAGCTGAAGTGTCTCCTGTTCTGTTCTCCATCCGGAGACGCTTGACACCAGCAACTGGAGGTTCTAAAAGGGTGACAGGAGATGGCGGCACCATTTTAGGAATTTTGTCATTCAATGGATGCTGAAAAATCTGTAGGAAGGTGAAGGAAAGCAGAAGGTAAAACAAAAATATAGATAGAGCTATTTCCAGACTGTGCACATCTAAACTAATAAAGAAAGGAAAATTGATGAAAGGAACTGTATGATTGCATGAATAAAGAAGAAGATTAGGATACGTAGGCATGCTTGCCGCATGGACTGAAAACAACTTCATCCCCTCCTTTAAGGGGAACTTTTGTGCCAGCAGTTATGGACCTTCCGTTTAATTGGACCGTACCCTTCTTGCCTAGAACTTCTAGCTCACATGTACCTTGCTGAAAGAACATAAAAAATCAACAAAACATTATAAGCAAGTGCTGCCAATTTTGCTGCACATTGCACAAAGAAAAAGGGCACCAGAGAAAAAAAAAAGACATGCCTCGAGTTGCCGCAACCTGCAAAGAATTTTGCTAACAGGTTGGTCTTTCAGCCACAAATTACAGCTTTTATTCTGACCAACAGAAAACTGAGGAACACTGATAGGAAGGTGAGGACTCTGCAGTGCACACATATTTAGTATCAGCATTGAGTGACAATATAATCCATGCATTATTGCGCATTACAATAGTAGAAGGAATTTAGAGTCAACAAATCTGCAAGAAAAAGAATGAAAGGAGACAACCAATATAGACGGTTAAAGGATTGAATTGTTGCTACTAGCATCTCTAAATGTGAAATGTCGGTACCATCAATTGGATTAAACCCTAGCCTTGACCGTATCATTGCATGAGAAAAACAGGGAGATGCGTACATCAAGAAGGTAATGGCTTTCTCTAGTTCAGAGAGCATTTGTGTAAGTTGCCATTAATTTGGAATTGCTAATACTAGTACATCAAATCTATCAACGTGGAAGCTCCAAACAATCAAACCTAAACATCAGATTTGCCTAGTCGACTTAAGCAAACTTTTTGTGACAAGCATGTCCTGTCACCTGTGTCAACTACATAGATTGCCCATGCATGTGAAAAGTTACAAAGCATAAGAGAAGTTGCTGCACTTAACCATTAGTCTGTCCATACATGGCAAACCAGGTTAAAGGAAAGAGAAGAGCAATTCAATCCGCTACTCGATTCACTAAGGAGTTTGAAGTAAGCATGTGTTTTAACTCACTTGGAAAAGAATATATTTTTCTTTATTTGTTTATTTGTTTATCTTCTTGTTCAATATGCATGTGTTCTGTCATTGAGGTTAGCCCAGCCTCGGTTAGTATCTGAACAGTTCTTCACTGTTCTTCACAGATTTGACCATGACAGCAATGCCAGCCTCTGCCTTACAACAGCAAAACTTAAGCAACCTAATGTACTTGCAAAATAGTTTCTCAAGATAAAACTTTAACCAGCTCTAATATGTTCTCTGATTATCCCAGTTTCCTACGTTCTTACAAAGTGAAGGTTCCGAAGACCATATGCCAAGAATTGCTACTACAGTACTGGTAATCACTAGAATATGTAAAACAACACAAACAGATAACATATTACAAATTCAATGCAGTAACCAATCAAACAACTAATTCAGGGTGGGCAACAGCCAACAGGACAGACTGCCAAGTCTTATTGCTGCAAAGCTCTAAACAAGTAAATAACAAAACTACTAATCAATCAAGCTGCAAATCACCACACCCATACTAACTTCCATTCTAAACATCCTCAAGATTAAACCTTTACAAAGAACAGCATCCAAAAGCTCCTACAGAACACCACATGTACACTAAATTCTACCCTAGGCATCCTCAAGATAGAATATTTACAGAGTTCAGCATCCAAAAGCCCCAAATTTTAACTTCCAACCCTGCAATACCCATACCATCAAGAACTCCTAATTACACCCCATAGATTTTTTTTCCCATGTACCTGTGAGGACTGCGAAAGCAGCTTCGCCCAAGGCGTCGCCTGCTGCTGCTGCTGCTGCTGCTGTTGCTGCTGCTGCTCCTTCTTCTTGCGCGAGCTCTCCACCACAGCGACAGCCGCCTTATCCCCTCCTTGATCTGCAACAAAGCATCAGAACCCTAACAGCTCGATCCAACAAACCCACGCGCGCGCACCCCAAAAAAAAAGAAGGAAATCCCCCCCTCACCTCTCTTGGCCGCGGCGTCCTCGCCCGAGCCGGCGCTCTTGGTCGCCGCCGAATCCTCCTCGATTCTCCCGGGCACCGACGCCGTCGGCGACGCGGGCGCCGCCTCCGCCTGATTCAGATCGGATTAAAACCCCACCCCGATTGGAAAAATATCAAATCAAGAAGAGGAATCAAATCAAGAAAGAAAAAGAAAGTATCTCTCTCATCTCACCTTGGGGCGCTTCGGGGGAGGGGCGGAGGAGGAGGAAGGGGACGGGGAGGAGCGCTTGGACGCCGCGGCGGCGGAGCTCCGGCGAGTCTCCACCATGGCGGAGGAGGAGGAGGAGGCGACGAGGGTTTCTTCCTCTTCTTCTTCTTTCCTCTCTCGCGAGGAGGAGGAGGAGAAAAAAAAAAAGGAGGGATTTTTTTTTTTATTTTTTTCCTTGTCTGGAATTGGAAATGGGTTTTGTTTGGCTTTTCGGTGTCAAAAGGAGGGGAAGAGGATACGGCGTGTTTTATAAGATTTTTTGTTTTATTTTTTTTTCTCTTCTAGTGTATATATGGTAGGACGGTCAATGGTACATTTGTAGGTATCTCCTTGAGTCATTTGTTTTCCGTATTCGTATTTTTTTATTGCTTTCATACCTATATATCTATTATAACATCTAACTCAAACTCCGTAAAAAGAAAAGGAGGAAAAAACGACCCGACCAAACTTAAAGTCGCCCCTTGTTATCCGTATATATCTCTTTAACTCTAATCTAATCTATCAATCTAATCTAACTTTTTAGAAAGAGAAGTTTCCATCATCCGTTAAAAAGGAAAAAAATGCGCAAGAAAAAAATAATTTCCAAAAAAATGCGCGGGAAAAATACGGTTTCCTTCGTCTGAAAAAAACAAAAAAAAATGCTATTAAAAACTATCAGAAAGAAATACACCATTTCTAAAAAAATGGTTTCAAAAAACCACACAAGAAAAAAAAACTGTTTATAAAAAAAAGCCGCTCTGAAAAAACTAACCTATGAAACACTGTTTATAAAATAACAGATCAAAAAAAACAAACGGACTCAACACGCGAAAAAAACCGATGTTTCAAAATAAGGTTTGAGAAAACCGTCCGACTTAATGCGAGAAAAAAACCATCATTTCGAAAAAAAAAATAGAGGAAACCATCCAACTCAATGCGAGAAAAAAACCGCCGTTTATAAAAAGAACCGCTCCGAGAAACCGTCCGACTCAAAGCGAGATAAAATTGATGGACGCTTGGGTCGGATAAGATCCATCGATATTTTTCCATCTCCTACACATCATTTCCTACACATCATTTGTTTCCTCATCTAATCCCTGCACTTTTTGTATGCAATTATCATTATCAGACTTTTTTTAATAACATATTATATGAAAATAGTATTAAAAATAAACATATTTTTAATTGTTATTTAGAGAAGAGTGCACGGTGACTATTTTGTGTAGACTTGATCCTGAGTGTAGGATTTGATTAACCTATTATTGGTTGCAAGAATAATATTGAAAGAATATTTTTTTATTATATGTATATTGTTGCATTGGGTAAAGCATAAAAAAGCGATAGTAATGGGTGTGTAGGAGCAAAATGCCACCGGATTAATTAAGGTTCTTATAGACAAATCGAATCTTTCCGGTGCAAGTAAGACGCTAACATGACATAATTATTTGTTGCTCTAAATCCATTGACATGGATGATTATAGGAAAACTATTAATACAATTTTAAAATAAAATTATGTATTATAGAGTAAAGTTTGAAACCCAAAAAGTACTTACTTTTGTCATGTATTATTATGAGTTGGTTGCAATGCATGGTTATTTTTTGGTACTTGATATTGATAAATACCTTTTTTTTACATATTGTAAAGAGTAGCAATAGTATAAGAAATGTTATTCGCTATCTATCAGATCAACCTCACTGCACTCTGATCGCATAATTGTTTTCACTAAAAAAAAAGAAGGAAATCATACAATGAATAGAAAAAATTTGGATGTAAACACGATTCATTTTGTGTGATTACATTTTTTTTAAAAAAAAGACATGTTATTGTTTTCTATTTTCTAAAAATAATTTATTTTGTCATAAATAATTCATTTTGTTGGTGATCACTTTTTTTAAAAAAAAAAGACACGTGGTTTTTTTAAAATTAATAAAATTGCGTTATTTTTATCTGATTCCTGTTAGACGTGGATCCAACCATTTTTCAATGTTATAGCCTCGGGCAAGCCTTCTATTTAAGCTAGCGCTTCCCAAAGCTAGCCAAAAGGTGGTATTATTTGTGCACTGAAATGTGACCCGTGTGGGGGCCCACTTGCCACGTCAGTTAAAACTGGCCACGACACTACCGAGGGATCTAAATTGACATGGTATTGTAAGTTAGAGGGTGAGCTCGGGTGTGTTCTGACACCCCCTAGTTCCTAACCCCTCTCCCTCGTTTTCCGCGCGCACGCTTTTCAAACTATTAAACGATGTGTTTTTTAAAAAAGTTTCTATACGAAAGTTGCTTAAAAAAATCAAATTAATCCTTTTTTTTTAAAAAAAGCTAAGACTTAATTAATCACGCGCTAATAGACCGCTCCGTTTTCCGAGCAAACACAGCCGTATACCTGGTATTTGATTTAGCGATGGATTTTATATTCTGCGACAAATTAAGGGACCTAAAGTGAACTTATTCCCGGTTGCTAGAGTATCGCACAATACTGTACTGCCGTACTGGGCTGCTGCTTTGCTATGTGGGCTGACTGCTAGGCTGCGTTTGCTTTTTGTTGGGCCGGCCTGCTTGCTAGCTTTCTCTTTTTTTTTCGTTCCTCTTTTTACTGTGGAGGGTCCGATTCTGATTCACGGATTACTGGCGAAAATCGCGTGGGCCCAGCTTTACATATTTTGACGGACGATGGAAGCACCTCTTATTTTTTAAGTAGTAGTAGATATCTCTATCTCTTCTCTATCTTATATCTCCATCTCTATCTCTACTATTATAAAAATTGAAAATATTTTTGCCGGTACTTTGATACGTTATTCATGCATGAGTCAGTTCTTAAGTTCGTTTGATTTTGGAATTATGGTTCCGTATTTGAGTCGGGCTTTAAGTTCGTTCGCTTTTCAAAATACAAAAGGAGTCATATAAGATATCCCTTTAAAAACTCGCATGCAAAATTGAGATGATCGGACTCATAATTGTAGCTCATGATTTTCTATGAAAAAATATATCCAAGCGAATTCCCACTGTGAATTTCACCTTAACTAAACCATATAATAATAATAAGATTAAAATAACATTCACACGTTACAAACGCACGGGTACTTTTTTTTCTAGTCAATTATAAAGATTATAAATTGTGACATTACTCAGAGTGAAAGAATCTTCTTTGTCGGTATGAGTAGTTCATGAGATATAATCTACATTTATATATCTATAAAAAAAATACTTCTGTCATAAAAGGTGTCTAGATTCAAAGCTAAAGTCTAAATATAGCTATATTTTGAGGAAAAGAGAATATAAGCTGACGGTTATATATCAAATCTAATTATACTATTTAAATTGTATGCATGAAAACAGAAAATAATAGTTCTATATGAAATCCATTTTATTTTTATCTAGATCGGTGTAAATTTATTCTGAAAAACCTCCTACTTACATGTTATGTTATCAAGTTCTTTTGGCAACGTATTTTCTTTATTATATTTGGGGATACATATGAAGCGTAGAATAATTTAAGGGGTACCTATTTGTTCAATTTAGAACATAAAGAATTGAAGGTTTGACATGAAAACTCTTGGCGTTTATCATCAATCTATTGTGATACATTTGTCATCGTACTGAAAAATATATGACGAAAATTGTGCGTTTGTTGACGGTGCGCGAGCTATTTTTCTGTGTAAAGTTTGCTTACCGTATAATTGTCTTTCTTTATCTAAGCTTCTTTACAAACAAAAAGTGGTATATTTAGTTAGGAAAAAAAATGAACTCCCAGCATTTTTTTAACAGTATCAATAAAAATATATGAGTTATGAATTTTCTGTATTAATGTTTTTCATATACATTGCCCTTGGGACAAAAGAAAAAGTACAAATCCGTTGTAACTCCATGAATATCTATAGGCAAAAGATAAATTTTCCACAGTAAAATGGTTACGACAAATTATATCAGCATCAACTTTCTGAGAGCAGGGCAATTGATTATTCCCTTGAAACTTTTCTTATTGCGGCAGTATACCTGATATGGTAAGGTCAACCATACCCGATTTGTGCTAACTAACCACTATGGCTTCTTATGCATCAGCATTTTACTAAACTAACATTACCTCTCTCATATTCCCTCCCAAAACTCCAATGTACCACTGATTGTTGCCATCTAACCATCTTCTTTGTTGCCACACAGTCTCACCAATTTGCAACTACCAAATTCTTCACTTAATTTCATTTTATACATTCAGCTTACTTCTCTTGTTTTTTTTCTCACCACAATTCATAATGCACAAATCATTTTTTTTTGTGTTAAACGTGTTCCCAGAAAGGGAAAGGATACGCATACAATTTGTGTTAAACTTGTTTACAAACACTCACGTGTCACGATGTGATTAAATATTGATTTTTTTTATCTTAACTAACTAATCAAATGGTTGAAATATTTGTCAGTAAGGAGCTTGTGAGATTTTTTTTAGTAGGTATAGCACTGCTCTTTTTGTAAACAAGTTTCACAAAAAGTGCTAAATTAACCAGAGAACAAAGATGATAATGTGAATCCCCACGAGAAAGAGTCAGTCAAGAACTTAAACCCGGATGAGCTCGAACAAACAGAGGTTATTAAAATGACATAGCATTGTGTGCAGCATGGACTCCACTATACATCATGGGCAATGTGACTATGCAGTGTCCCATGGTCCACTCATACCATGAAAAAAGGGTTCTTCAAAAGAAATTCTCATGTCGTAATCAGCTTTCAGCCTTTTCAGGCAGCAGCAATCTAGCTATAGCTACACCCAAAAGGGATGTGCCAAAGAAAACGTGCGCATATATAATTTCTCTCCAAACCTAGCTAAGCTAAGTAGCTACCTTGTCTTACAAGTACAGATTACAAAGTGTAGTAGTAGAGTTTAATTATCGGCAAGACACACAGACAGACAGACAGCAAGTGTCCAGCTAAAAGCAGGCTGATCGATTGCATGGTATCTGAAGAAAGAAAGTCTGAATCTTTGCTTGAGTGCAACTGTGGAGATGCGTTTTCTGAAGAAAAGTGAAAGGGAAGATAGAATGTGATGGATTTTTGGCCCAGATAGACAGGGATTCGACTTGTTTTGGCCCAGAAAGTTCGTGCAGTTACAGAATTATAGCCCAACTATGAACTATCCAAATGTCACATCTTCTGCAAGAGCAAGAAGAGTGCAAGACACAGTATGCTCGTTTGCAGGCTTGCAGGTTGCAGCTACTGCATTTTCAGTGCAGAACTGCAGATGCTTAATTAGATTGATTTTTAATATGACAAATTGACAACATCACTTTGGTTGGTGAGGAATTCATCAATGTCAAGCAGAGATCTTGCAGAGGGATGCTTTGTGATTACAGAGAGTTTATGTACTGAATCTTTTGGCATTGCAAGTTTGGAGCTACTTTACACTGAGCATATTCTCCCAAAAGATCCAACTATGTATATATATGCACAACTTTGTGTAGGATTACAGATTACTGCAAGATTAGCACACTGTTTCCATTCATCAGAACTTTCAGTAGGATTCCAGAAAGAAGTAATTGATTGCAAGTGCATCATATGCATACATTTTCATACTTTTATGAAGAAAGTAACACAACAATCTATAACTGAAAGACTGTATCAAGTTCAAGAACCATCGTAATCACCCGGCCACTCTAACACAAGCAGTTAGCCATTTAGACAAAGGCTATCGTCCACTGCATGTCTGCATCAGCCTTCTCACTTCAAAACGTGCACGAGTTCTGAAAATTTGCTTCAGGGTAACAGTATAGCAGTAGCACTGAATGTCTGAAGCCAATGGAGATACTTCTCTGAAAAAAAGAGAAGACAAAAAGGAAAAGAGGGCCATGGTGAAGAGGCCTCCGTGGGCCGTGGCGGCCCAGATAAGAGTTCTCCTTCTCACTGACATGTGGGGCCAAATTAACGGCCGTTGCCGCGTCGCCTTTCTCAGGCTCAAAGAAGCTCGCCGCCGCCGCCGCGACAGCTCGCCTCGCCGACGAGCGGCGTCACCCGCCACTCCGCATCGATCCGGCCGGCGTCGGTGAGATCCGTTCCACCGGGCCGGCGCCGCCGATGTGTGTGGCCGGCGGCGAGACGCCGGGTGGAGATATCGCCGACAGGCAATGGGGGAACGAGGGTTAGTATTCTTTGGTGGACTGAGCGGCGAGCTATTTATTCTCGATCGATCAAGCAGAGATCCTACAATGCAAATGGATGCTCTTTTTCTGGTCACTGAATCTTTAAATGTTGCGAGTCGCAACTGCATTCTAACCTTGCAAAAGGAGGCTCTCTGTTCATCAAAGTTTATGTAAAATAATATACTCCCTCCGATTCATATCATAAATCGCTTTGACTTTTTCTTTTAAATTAAACTTTTTTAAGTTTGATCAAATATATAAAAAGTATAGCAACATTTCTAGCAGAAAATAAACATATTATCAATTATTATACTTAATGAAACTAATTTGATATTGTAGATGTTGCTAAATTTTCTATAAATTTGATCAAAACTTAAGAAGTTTGATTAAAAAAACAACACGATTTATAATATGAAACGGAGGCTACTAGCATCAGATGCAGTTTCATTTCATACATCTTTGAGTTTTATACAATGACTAGTACCACTCACTATATTTTAGAGTTCACCTCAAAACGTGCACTGGTTCAAACTTCACATTCAAAACCAACATCGATAATTTCTCTTCCAACAAAAGAAAAACACTTCTCCAAAAAACTCTTCCAAAAGAGAAATCAGACGTAGTTGTTAGTCTCATCATCAAATGCTGTCATTCCAGTCATCCAGGGTACATACACACATCATCCAAATCCAGCCATTCTTTTTACCAACTTAACGTCCCTGTATATTTAACTGAACTTGCTTGGATAAAACTTACTCCCTGTATATATAACTGAACTTGCATGGACAAAACTTCTCAAAAAGATTTCACCACCACCACACTGGTGAAAAACAGTTAAAACTTGCAGTAAAATCTACTCCCTGACAGTACGTCCAAGCAACCAACATGCTGAAATATAGCACCCCTGGCTTCTCTGTCCAACTCCAAGTTTCCAACAACCAAAGTTGCCAGATCAACTGTGATCAGAAGCATATTTAACTGAACTGGCTTGGACAAAACTTGTCACAAGATTGGTGAAAAAACAGTTAAAACTTGCTGTAAAATCTACTCCCTGACAGTACATCCAAACAACCAAACAGTCCAAATTAAGCACGCCTGTGCTCTCTTTCCAACTCCAAGTCCCCAACAACCAAAGTTGGCAGATGAACAGTGTTCAGATCAAGAACACCCTTAACCCTTTGGCCTTTTCGCTGTTTATGGACAGTCTTGTGCTGTTGGCCATAGCTTGTTGCCTTCCAAGCAACACCACTTTTCAGTTTTTTCACAGGGCAGGCGAAGAGATCAAAGAGCTAGCTGCATGCCTTGCAGTTTGTCTTCCAAGCAACGTGCAATGCCGAAGCAAACCAGATAGGGTCACTGACAGCTATGGCCCACCCAGCAGATGACTTCAGTGGGGCCCACTTGTCAGTGATCTGGATGGTTTCTCATGGAAGTTTCACAGGTAGGCTGAGCCATTTTCTGTGGCCAACTACCTGCAGGCTGCAAGTTTCCAGATTGTGTGAAGATGCTGCTTCATGTGCATGTTCTACCTCTCTGCTTGTTGTACTGTCAGGCCCCAAGATCTCTGTTGGCCTGTTTGTTCTCTAGCTAGCTCCACTTTCCTTCATTCTGAATCCTTCCACCAATCATTCTGTTCAATGATCCATTATTCAATTAATTCAATCAACTTCTCTCTCTCTCTCTCTCTCTCTCAACTGTTCCAAAGGTGACAGTTATCCATGAATTGGAATGCATCATCTTAATTGGAGCTAGACTAGCTTGTCCTGGTCAGGTTTCATCTTAGATTAATTAAGGCTCTGTTTAGTTCCAAAGTTTTTTTTTTCCAAACTTTCAACTTTTCATCACATCAAACCTTTCATGCACACACAACTTTTCTGTCACATCATACTAATTTTAACCAAACTTCTAAACTTCAGTGTGAACTAAACACAGCCTAACTTACATGTATGGACAGAGTGACAGACAAACAGATGGCAACAGAAACGACCTATGTATACTATGGTTTGGTGGAAGTAACATGCATGGGGATGGCCTGAATGAACAGCACAAATGTGCAGTGTCACAGTACTACTACACCCAGATGGCTTATCAGGACCATGCTTTGCATAATACTTGCATTCATGCATAGAACCATCTGAAACTCAATCAGAAACGACACCCACAAGACTAATACACAATCACATGGGGGTGGCTACCTAGGATCATCGATATCATAATGCAATCTTGTATCTCACTTGGCATTCCAGAATAATAATTATACTTGTACGTACATGGAACTATGGAAGAGTTGATTATTGATTCCAGGGTGACAAGATTAATTAATTCATTAAACTTGTCGACAGGTCAACTCACCGACCAGGGAATTTAAGAAAAAGGCTCAATTGTACAACACAACAGCCTTGTTTGGGAAATTTGTTTTAGTTCTCATGGGGACTTCTCCTCGTTTGCCATCATACATGTACGTAGTATTAGACAAAATTTTAAGTCTAAATTCAACTCCCACATAGAGAAATGAAAAGGACAAATCCAACATACCAATACTACTTATATACTACTCACATTCGAATTTATCTTTTCTTTTTTCTTTTCAGTATGTAGATCAACTTTGAACTTGATATTTAGGTCGAGCGATAGGTATCACTGTACTGTACATTGTCAAATTTTCGTAGAATGTCCCACAACAATTTACATTGAATTTGATTGACAAAGGTATACGATGGGACATTCCTCGAGGGATTAAAATCCACTTTCAACCTTGCTCTTCCTCTCCTCCAAAAGAATGGTACTAGAACTAGCCTAGCAACCTACTCCTAGCTTAGCTAGATAGCTAACCACCCTATGCTCACCAAATCAAATGCATGCATGCATGCATGGCGCCATGGACTACTTACTTACTACTACCATTGTCCATTGATTGAGGTGATCACTAGGCTGTCAATGGGGTGGTAGGGTGGCATGTAGGCCCCTATATAAGGAGCTATAGCTTGGCAACAACCTGCCATTGCCATTGATCCCATTGTGTGAGCTCAATCGTGTGAAGAAGCTAGAGCATAAACTGCAACTGATAGGAAGCTAGCTAGCTAGCAGGAGGATCAATGGCGTCGTCTCCGACGATGTTGGTGGTGATGTGTAGTAGCTTGGCCATGGCGGTGATCCTGTCGTCGAGCTCGCCGGCGATGGCGCAGCTGGACGTGGGGTTCTACAGCAAGACGTGCCCCAAGGTGGAGGAGATCGTGCGGGAGGAGATGATCAGGATCCTCGCCGTCGCCCCCACCCTCGCCGGCCCTCTCCTCCGCCTCCATTTCCACGACTGCTTCGTCAGGGTAAGCACATTGATCATACTGTTCTTGGTGTGCATGCAAAAATGAAGAAGATGTGCTAGAATCTATGTGATTTTGAAACATTTTCTTAATAAGTTGAACTTGTTTAGAGAGAGTTGAGAGGGTTAGTTTGTCCCAACACCCATCACCTTAAATTATGGCTTTATTTTTAGATACCAAAACTTATTGACTATATGTCTTATACCCCGTTTCAGATTATAAGTTGTTGTAGAAAAAAATAGTTATATTTTCAACCCAACACAAATATATTAAAAAATATTTAATTATAGATTTAATGAAACTAATTTGTTGTTATAAATATTAATATATTTGTGTATAAACTTGATAAAATTTAGAGTAGTTTAACTTTAACCAAAGTAAAAACGACTTATAATCTAAAACAGTGGTAGTATATAGTAGTCGGCGAAGATGTAAATCATTTTTATTATGTAAAAATAATGTCAGAGACTTTTCCAACATTTTTGCTGGATTCGAACATTATTTTCATTGATAATGCAGGGTTGCGACGGGTCGGTGCTGATCGACTCGACGGCGAGCAACACGGCGGAGAAGGACGCGCCGCCGAACCAGACGCTGCGAGGGTTCGGCTCCGTGCAGCGGATCAAGGCGAGGCTCGACGCCGCCTGCCCGGGCACCGTCTCCTGCGCCGACGTGCTCGCGCTCATGGCCCGCGACGCCGTCGCCCTCTCCGGCGGCCCCCGCTGGGCCGTGCCCCTCGGCCGGCGAGACGGCCGCGTCTCCGCCGCCAACGATACCACCACCCAGCTGCCGCCGCCCACCGCCAACATCACGCAGCTCGCCCGGATGTTCGCCGCCAAGGGCCTCGACATGAAAGACCTCGTCGTGCTCTCCGGCGGCCACACGCTCGGCACGGCGCACTGCTCGGCGTTCACGGACAGGCTCTACAACTTCACCGGCGCCAACAACGCCGGCGATGTCGACCCCGCCTTGGACCGGAGTTATCTAGCGCGGCTCCGGTCGCGGTGCGCCAGCCTCGCCGGCGACAACACGACGCTGGCGGAGATGGACCCCGGGAGCTTCCTCACCTTCGACGCCGGCTACTACCGGCTGGTGGCGAGGCGGCGGGGGCTCTTCCACTCCGACTCGTCGCTGCTAGACGACGCGTTCACCGCCGGCTACGTGCGGCGGCAGGCCACCGGCATGTACGCCGCCGAGTTCTTCAGGGATTTTGCCGAGTCGATGGTCAAGATGGGCGGCGTCGGCGTGCTCACCGGCGGCGAAGGCGAGATCAGGAAGAAGTGCTACGTCATCAACTAATAATTAATCTACGTATTATAGCTTAATTAAGCAATTAAGCTCGTAATTATGTGTCTTAATTTTTCCTGCTGATTATTGATTAAGTGTTCCCTAATTAATCATGCGTGTAACTGATGTATGTGTAGAGTGGTGGCGACATATCGATCTATACTAGTTTTACTTGGATTACTTTGTTTGTTAATTGTATTATTATGCAATGTAACTAAGAAATTAATCAAATAATGAATCAAGTATTGCACACGTATATACATTTCGTTTCATTCGAGAAGGATCATGGGAGGTCGGAGTTTGAACACCGAAACCCCTTGGGTCGGTGACGACCGCTTCAAAATTCTTGCATTCCAAATTCTCTGCCCTATATCCATACCGCTTCTATCAGCACAAGAATATGGGATAAAAAATGCTTTGGAAAGATGCAGGCGTTTGTTGCGGTGATGGACGATCAAGTCATCAAGACGAGATCGTGTTCTGCAGAATTCTGATGTACTCTGCACCTTAGCACCTCTCGGGCGCGGCCTCTCGATGCAGGGTGTGCAATGCTGTCTCCTGCGTGCCCGCGCCCGCGGTGGCGCTTTTTTGCTACCGACGGCGGCGCTCCGGCGACGAGCTGCGTGGCGTGAGGCGGTGGGAGAGGGGATGGGGTTTGGAGAAGAAAACTCCGAACCCCTTTGGGATCAGTGCGGCCCAGACGATTCACACGGTGTGTCATCCTTGGGCCGAGGAAGGTGGTACAGTGGGGCTTGAGATCTGTCAGTAGAGCCGATACGGCCCAGCACTGCTTGGCTCGGGCTCTTACGTTTGGAATAAGTCTATTTTTTCACCCTTAACTCATGCCCTGGTTGAATCGCATCCCTCAACCCCCAAACTGGGTATAATCCGTCCCACAACTACCAAAACCGTAGCAAATCGACCCCCCAGGCGGTTTCATCCTACGTGGCACTTACATGGCAAGTTGACTTGGTCTATATGACTATATCCCACGTGGCATCGACGTGGCTCTTACGTGGCACTAAAATAAAACAAAACTTAAATGGGACTCATATATCAGTGAGTAAAACAATAAAAATAAATTTCGGGCCCACGTGTTAGCTGCCGTTTCTCCTCCCTCTTTACCCTTTATTTCTCAGGTGATGGTAGCAACCGGCGGTGGATTCGTGGATGGTGGCGATGGTGAGACGGAGCACGGGCGGAGGCCGCCGAGCTGCCGCTAGGTCAGCAAGAGCAGTCCGCTCGGAGGTAGCATGCGAGCGCGACGGCGTCGATCTCGGTGAAGGGGACGAGCTCCAGTGGGCACACACCCGCAGATGAGCTCTCTGTTGCAGGCGGCGCGCGAGCACGGTGGTGTCGATCTCGACGAAGGGGACGAGCTCCAGGGGCAACGGTGACGAAGGTAGGGACGGGGAGCGTGGCGATGGTGGGGCTTGAGGGCGGTGGGGCTCTTACCGTGGCCGGCGCCAGGGTTCGGGGTGGGAGCGAGCCGACGAGGCCCGCCACCCATCTGTGTCTCCGGTGGAAGCCGATGGCCTCTTCCAGGCTCCGGTGCTAGCGGCAAGGTCATCGCCGCCGGCGTCTGCCTACGCCTCCATTGCTGTTATGCGGTGGAAAGTCACAGGGACGGTCGAGGGAGGGGATGAGGTTGGTACGTGGCGCTGGAGCAAGGCGACAAGGCCCATCAGTGTCTCCTGGTGCAAACCGACGGCCTCCTCCAGGCTGTGCCTCCATTGCTGTTGTGGCGGAGAGATCGGGGGATGTCAGGATAGGGAGCGGAGAGGGGGGCATGGCGGCAAGGTCGTCGCCGCCTGCGTCTCCATCGCTGTTGCGTGGGGCGGGGCGTGGAGAGGGGATGTCGGGGGTGGGGCGGGGCGTGGAGAGGGGGGTGGTGGCGTGTGGCCCCCGTGCTCCATCTCACCGCCGGTTACTGCCATCCACCTGATAGAGATGAGACAGAGAGATGAGAGAGAGGGGGGTAGCTGACACGTGGGGCCACTTAGGTTTGTTTTCATTTTAGTGCCACGTAAGTGCCATGTCGATGCCATATGGGTTGAAGACCAAGTCAACCGTGCCACGTAGGACAAAACCGTCTGGGGAGTCGATTTGCTACGTTTTTTTAAGTTGGGGGATGAGTTATACCCGGTTTTACGGTTAAGGGATACCATTCAACCAGCGGCATGAGTTGAGGGAAGCAAAATAGACTTGTACCACTGATCCTGATATAGTTACGCGTGTGCCTTGCCATTGCATGTGGTGAGCCGATGATGAGGACGATACCAAGTCGATCAGGTTTTGCATCATCTCCGCCGCGTTGTCTACTCATCATGCGCACACGCTGTCACCAGTCACCACACCGACGTCCCCGGCCGGCCAGCACGTGACGGCGATGCTCCAGCGAGGCGAGCATGAGGCTGTGTATGGGGCGAGGTGATTCGGAGAAGAAAACTCTGAACCCCTTTGGAATCTTTACATAGGTCGTCGAGGGGGTTCGGAGAATAAAACTCCGAGCCCCCCATGCCCCCCACCTTGGCCCTTGGGGTCTCGTGGCAGTTGGATCGGGCTTGTGTGGTCCAGATGAGAATTAGGTTCAGACTCGGCCTGTCACGCCGATATGGCCCATGAGGACGATACCAAGTCGATCAGGTTTTGCATCATCTCCGCCGCGTTGTCTACTCATCATGCGCACACGCTGTCACCAGTCACCACACCGACGTCCCCGGCCGGCCAGCACGTGACGGCGATGCTCCAGCGAGGCGAGCATGAGGCTGTGTATGGGGCGAGGTGATTCGGAGAAGAAAACTCTGAACCCCTTTGGAATCTTTACATAGGTCGTCGAGGGGGTTCGGAGAATAAAACTCCGAGCCCCCCATGCCCCCCACCTTGGCCCTTGGGGTCTCGTGGCAGTTGGATCGGGCTTGTGTGGTCCAGATGAGAATTAGGTTCAGACTCGGCCTGTCACGCCGATATGGCCCATGACTGTTTGGTGGGCTAGATGGAGCTCCAGATGCACCCGAGCAATAGGGCTCTTATGGCCGCGGTAACTCCTCCTCCTGTTTCGGCCTACATATATGCTGGGATTGGCCATTTGGCCCTGTTCTATTCAGCGAGAAGGATTGGAGCGTGACACATCTAATCTGTCAAAATTCATTGCATCATTTTCCGGGAAAAAAAATTCATTGCATCATTTTCGCAAAAATAAAAGATAGACAATGCATCCTTTCCAAAAAAAAACCCATTGCATCCCACAACCTTTTTTCTGGTGAAAGTTACACGACAGTACGGATGGGATGATACATATGAGGTATCGCCTATATTTTCGAGTATCATCCGAACGGGATACTGTCCTGTAGCATTAAAGTTTAATGATATTAATCGTATAGGCATATAGTACATACTTTAGTAAAAAAAACTTGTTGTCATTTGCTACTATAGGAGCCTACAGTCATTAACAACACCAGACATGCGTCCGGCGAAAAAATTACACGGACATCCAAACACGCAACATTACAATCCCGAGATGCTACTACCCAAATGGATGCGTGATGTCGCGATTAATGCACATGCGTAATGTAAGAACCATCACATAATCCATGGATTTCCGGGCACCCGAAATACGCGAGAGAAAAATAAAGCCTCATCGATCGGTTCGAGGAATCATGCAGATGCAGGGTCATGGATCAAGCACAGGCTGCGTCCTCTGCCGGAGCTTAGATTCATGGCTTCCTCTGCTCTGCACATCACATTACGGCGCAGGAGGTTGGATCATCCTCAATGGAATATTGGTAGAGAGCGTAGCCTTGCCCGTTCGGGTAGCCCGCGACGCCGGCGTCGGAGTAGGAGCCCTGTAATGGCGGCCTAGCCGTAGCCGCGGTGGAAGCCTTCTCGCTTCTCATCGAATTGCTGCTGTTTACCCCGTTCTGCTGCACGCTCTTGTTGCCGTTCTTGCAGGTGTAGCTCACCCTAACCTTCGAACAATAGAGAGAAGAAGATCATAGGTAGGCTCAATCAACTCAAGCCTCAAGGAATGAAGTTAATAATGCGTACTACTCTCCCGTCCTAAAATAAATGTAATTTTGCACTGTTTTTATCTAACATTTGACATTCTTTATTTGAATTTTTTTATGATTATTGTTTTTATTGTTATTAGATGATAAAACATAAATAGTACTTTATGTGTGATTATTTTTTCGTGGGTCAAACGTTGGACACGAATAATCACAGTTGTACTTATTCTGGGATGGAAGTAGTACTATCTGTCATCCAATGCACTACACGGGGTCACGGGCTATAATTGTTACTAATATTAAAATTGTAACTGCTATACATTGAACATGTTGATTTTTATGAATTATTATAGTGATTTTGGAGAAAAGTCACGTCTGTTACAGCTCGCTGATTATTAATTTTAGTCTTCAAAGCTGAACTAACAAAACACTAAACTCACTCTAGAGCTCTTTGGTTCTAAAGCTCCCACCTTTTAACTCTGAATTAGACCCCAACAATCCAAACATGTGGGCTAATTTGGGGCTAAAGTGAATTAGCCATTCTCAAAACATTAGCCTCTTCAAAAGGTGCTAATGGGGCTAATTTTCTGTGTGGACCACTTAAAAGTAGCCCTATCTCCCCCCTCTCTTTCCTCTTTCTCTCTCTTCGCCTTTTAGCCCTGAATTAGCTCATGGATCTAAACATGTCACTCTAGACTAATGTTTAGTCTACCAATTCAAGATTAAATATTACTCCGTAACTCTTAAAATTAGCTCTAGGCTAATCTTTCGGACAAGACCTAGGATAGGTTCAATTTCCAGCAAGTCATATTAATTGATCATAACAATATACAAACAGCAAAAGGAAAAAAAAAGAAAAAACTTTGATAATAAAGCAGATCGAACAAGGGGCCATGGAAACTTACCCATAATTACTAAATATTTACTTCTATCTCCGTCCTAAAATATACTCCCTCAATCCCAAAATAAGCGTAGCCATGAGTTTTCGTGTCCAACTTTAATCGTCCGTCTTATTTAATTTTTTTTAACAAAACAAAAAAAAAGTCTCGCATAAAGTACTACTCCCTCTATCCCATAATATAAGGCGCGGTTAAACTTGTCACGGTCTCCAAAACTAATCTTTAGCTTATAATTTCTCATATATTATAAGGTTTGTAGCAACAAAATTATAACCATATGAAAGTAAATTTAAATGTCAATATAATGCTATAATTTTTACCAAATAATATTTATTTCATACTATACTAAGTGTTGGTCAAATATTTTAAATGTTGATTCTTGAAATGCGTGCACGCTTTATATTATGGGATGGAGAGAGTATTCATGTTTTATAATAATGGTGGAGAGACCCGGGAGGCGACAGTCGCCGAGGCCCGCTCCTCCTACGCGCGCGCAGCCTCGCCGCGGCCGGCGACGCTGCCCCCGGTGGCATTGCCGGCGGCGGCGCTCGCCTCCCCCCCCAGCACCACGACCTCCCCACACCATTAACTTCCTCTCCTTTTCTTTTCCAGATCCAAAACTCTCTTCATGCTAGCTTGTCTCCCGCCCTGTTCCTCCTGCCTCCGGCGACGGCAGCCGGCTGTGGTGGTGGGTGGCCGTCAGATCCGCCTCCTACCTCGCCCCAGCAGCCTCCGGCGACGGCAGCCGGCCGTGGTGGTGGGTGGCCATCAGATCTGCCTCCTACCACGCCCCTGCAGCCTCCGGCGACGGCAGCCGGCCGTGGTGGTGGGCAGCCGTCAGTTCCGCCTCCTACCATGTCCCCCTGCCTCCGGCAAGGTCGTGTGGTGGGGACGGCTTGCTGCCTGCAATGTCGTCGGTGGGCTGCGACGTCGCCTGTTGCCGGTGCCCAGATCCACCTTCCCCTTGGCAGCATGGCCGGAATTGGTCAGCTCAGTGGCGACCGACAACGCTGCTGACTTTGCCGATGTCTGCTCCATTTTCTTTTCTTCTTGTCTACCCGGCGGTTGGAAGCATTTTGAGCTTTGCCACGATCAGCTCAGCCCAAACCTGCATGTCTAGGAGTTTGCTGGTGCCTCGGCCGCTCTGAATCTCCTCAATTCTAGCATGCTTCTCCTTGGCTCGCTTGGGTTTGCCTATTGGTTGGAACATGTGCTTCTCCGGCGGTCGTGATGCTCCCGATCTTTGTTCTCTTCTGTTGATGTTTCATCCATCTGTAGATCCCCATCTCTTTCATTTCTCTTTTGTTCAGTCCCCTGATTGCCCTTCACCCTCTCTGCTTGGGTGTCCCTGACTGCAATGTTTAGCGGTCCTTCCTCCTATGGGGCTTTCTTCCCCCGAAGGGCGTTGAACTGGCTAGCAATTTGATAAAGCTCGATTGAAGACGGCTTGATGCGGGTGGCCTATGGCCTCAACTTTCAGTGGCCTTCCCTCTTTTGGGGCTTCCTTCCCCCAATAGACGTCGGGGGGCATTGATTCAAGTAGCAACATGACTAAGTCGTACTTCTGACGGCTTGATGCGGGTGGTCTTCGATAACCACAGTCTTTCGACTGCCAGAGAACCAAGCCGGTATGCGCGTGGCACTGAGGCCCTCCGGCACCTTCGATTCTTGGTGTTTCAAGTCTGCATGCGAAGTGGATGATGTTCAATTAGGGTTCTAGCATTAGTTTGATTTGGAATTTGGTCGGGTGTTTTTGCAGGTGGCAAACGTCAAAGCTTCTCAGTGCGTGGTAGGGAGGTTGTGATGCGTCTGTATTCTCTTCTCTGTATACCCCCGTGTATTCTTTCTTATTATCCTCCAGGGCTCCTGTATTTACGCAGGTGAAACCTGCCCTGTGTAAGATCGTTGGAAGTAATATATTCAGGTGGGCATTTCGCCCCCTGGTGACCAGTCTAAAAAAATATAATCTAATAATAATAAAAACATTAATCATGAAACATTTAAAATAAGACGGACAATCGAAATTGGACACGGAAACTCATGGCAACGCTTATTTTGGGACGGAGGTAGTAATAATTTTTGGCTATATATATATAGAGAGAGAGAGTGAGTGACGAAGATAGTATAGATATCTTACTGAATTGTTTGCCTGGTGATGACTGTGAGCAAGGAGAGGGTCGATCTTCTCTTTGTGGATGGATTTGGCAGAGCTGATCTCTCTCACCGAATTTATCGAGGACCTGTTAGAGTTGATCTCTGTCTGGGATCTTACTATCGAAGAGTGAGCAGAGTTGATCTTTGTCCGCGATCTTACTATGGAAGAGTGAGCAGAGTTGATCTCTGTCCGGGATCTTACTATCGAAGAGTGAGCAGAGTTGATCTTTGTCCGCGATCTTACTATCGAAGAGTTGGCAGAGTTGATCTCTGTCCACGATCTTCCCGAGGACGACTTGGCAGAGCTGCTCTCTCCTAGCGATCTTACCGAATAATTTGAGCTGCCGGTGTTGATCTCACTCTGCTTCCACCACGCTGAATTGTTTGCCAGCTGGTGATGACTGAGAGCCGGGTTCATCACTCTCAGTGATCTTACTGAACTGTTTAAGCGGCGGCCATGATCGGAAGCGGTGTGGTTGCCGAACATGATGCCGGCGGTGTTCTGCTTCATTCGTGCTGAATTGTTTGGGCGGCTATAACCAGGAGCGGCGTGCTGATGACTGGTCATCTTATCCTCGCGGACGCCGGCGTTCTAACAATAAGAACATGGATGATCGATGATCAATTAATTGGTCAACTCAATCAGCACAACGAAGAAAACAACTCCAGTTTGATTATCTATATTTATACTATATAGTACCGAATTGCTTGCACGGTGGTGATTGCGATCCACGACCACAAGGTGCAGCTCATCGATCTTCTTCGCCGTGCCTGCGCCTTGGGCGGCGAGGAGGTCCATGAGGCAGTTGCTGATCTTGTTATTGACGCTGTCCAGCTTGGCGTCCACCGCGCGGCTGCCCACGAGCCTGTACATCTGGCCGTCTCCGCAGCAGGACTCGACGAGCTTGTGCGCCTCGTCGAGGGCCTCGTTGAGGCTGCCCAGCATGTCCCACGTCGCCGCCGCCGCCGCCTCGCCGGTAGCCGCGGGCTTGTAGTTGTAGTTGCTCAGGATGCCGGCGACTCGCCGCGCGCGGTCGGAGAGCTCCAGGCACTTGGTCTGGTTCTGGCGAGCCTTCTTCGCCACCGTGGCGATCTTCATCGCCAGCTTTATCATCGCGCTCACGAAGCTGAACAACGACGCCGGCTCCATGGATCTCGAAACTCGAATTGAGACCACTCGCTTAATGGATCAGGATAGAAATTAAAGGAGCAAGGAGCTCTCGATTGAATAAAAGTGTGAACTGTAAAGTAAAATCGCCAACCAGCTCCGACTGTGATGTGGTGGACTGGACTTAAGCACTGCTGGTATACGCGAAGCTTCGCGCGTATGCCGCCCGCGCAAACGCGTTTGCCCCGCCAGCGACGTGCATATGTTTGCTGTTTCTACCCTAATTTCCAACTGATAATCTACTACTACACCATCCGTTTCATATTATACGTTGCTTTGGCTTTTTTCTTACTAAAATCTTCTAAAGTTTGATAAAGTTTAAATATATATATTGCAACATTTGCAACATAATACAAATATATTATCAAAATATATTTAATAAAAACTAATTTAATATTGTAAATATTGCTATTTTTTTAATAAACTTAGTTAAATCCAAATAAGTTTGACTAGCAAAAAGTCAAAACAACTTATAATATGAAATAGACTGAGTACTTTGTTTCATATTATACTTAAGCTCAACAAGGAGGAAAAAAAATCATGCACAGTATATTTGAAGGACCAAAATGTTTTGAAACAGTGGATTCTATCTACCCAGGGTTTCCCAAACCGCCGAGGCCGGGGTTACTGCGCCCCAGCCGTAAGCACGGTTACCGCGCGGTAACCGCGGCAACCGTGAAAACCCGCACGAAACCGTGCAAAAATTCAAGTTATTTTTCAAATTTATTTGAATTTAAGGAGGTTACAGCGGTTTTTCTATTACCGTACTCCGCGGTAAGGCCGGTAACCGCGGTACCGATGGTAATGTAAACCATTCTACCCTAGCTGCAATTTGAGCAACAAAACCCCTTCAACCGGCGCATCTATCGATTACTCTGCCTGCTCCCTAGTCCTCCACCGTACAGAATAAGTCTACTCTTAGTCCCTCATATCTTTGAGCTGTCTTGTATGGTTAGAATAAATCTATTTTGTGCCCCTCATCTCTTTGGGCCGTGCCTCATATGGCTAGATTAAATCTATTTGAGCTCCTTGTTGTTAGACCGGATCGTGCCGGGCCAGCATATCGTGCCAAGAAAGAGACCCAAGCACAAACCAACCGTCGGGCTGGACATCAAGCTCTCGAATGGCCGCGACCCGACGGCAATGGCGATGGTGATGGAGTCTGGAGCCATGTACGAGGAAAGAAAGCTGGTGAGGGGAACAGTAAGGGACGGCCATGAATGACGCGGCCATCGGCACACCGGCGAGCAACTACTTCAGTGACGAGGCCGAAGAAGGACACGATCATATCCTGTCGAGTTGTTCAGGGAGATGGATGGTCGAGATGTTCCTCTGGGCTGCACTTTTCTAATAACTAAACAATATTATTGGTCAATTAATTAATTTATGATTATTGGTATTGTATTCAGTCGTGGATTCCTATGTTAGGGATTACCATTTTTCAAGATTCTTATTAATTATGTTAACACCAAATCTTGTTTTATCCTTTTTTTTTTTCCTTTCCATATGCTCCCAGCGTTATTAGTCGGAATGGAAATAAGAGAGAGCAAAAAGCTTCCCGGAAAATTTCCTATCCCCGCACCTCGCTCAAAACCCTAAACCCTAATCTCGCCGGCTCGCCGCGCAGGCCCCTCCCCAGCGAGATGGCAGAATCTCCGGTCGCCACCGTCACCGATGACCGGAGCGGGGATAGGAGAAAAGCAGCGGCGGCCGGGGAGGAGCACACCAGCGACGACCTCCTCCTCCTCCTCCGCCGCCGCCTCCTCGACGAGCTGAGGAGGCTGAGGGAGGCGGAGAAGGCGGAGCGGGAGCGCGACGCCCGGTCGGCGAGGCTGATCCTCCTGTCGCTGCTGCTCGCGGTGGCGACGCCGGTCCTCCTCTGGCTCTCCGCCGGCGGCGAGCCGCTGCTCCTCGTGTGGAGGCTCTCCCTCCTCCTCACCGCCTACTTCTTCCTCTGCGCCGCCCTCCTCTCCCTCACCACGGGCCTCTTCGCCCTCGCCGTCGACTTCTCCTACGGCGCCTTGCTGGCCTACTTCGCCGGCCATGCCATCACCCCGCGCGTCGGGATGGTTGTAGTCTTCCTCAACTCCGTCTCCGCCGCGGCCATGGCGGGCCACGCGCTCGCCGAGCGCCGCCAGAGCGGCGGCGCCGAGCGATCCGCCGACGAGATCCCCGCCCTGAGCCACGACAAGGAGGAGTACGCGCGCTGCTGCCGGATCACCATGGCCGTGCTCTCCTCCCTGATGCTGGTTGCCCCCACGGTGTTCGTCGCGTGGGAGCTGATCTCGTGGTGGCTCACCATCGCCGACTTCCCCGTCGACGAGATCGTCGGCGACCTGTCCATCGTCGTCATGTTTTATGTCTTTTGCTTCCTGCTGCTGCTAATCGAAGAGGAAAGCCACTTCTACACTATCATCGCCGTCTTCCTGGTCGTCGCAGCTTTGCCCCTATTTTTCTCCATCGTCTTTGGTGATGCTGCCGCCATGGTGGTCTCCTGGATTGGTGTCCTTGCCTTGACTGTTCTCCTTGGATATCGCCTGCGACTCTACTCTTCTCACCAGCAGCACAAGGTGATGATGATGATGAGGTACTACTAGATATAATAGATTCTATCTATATTTTAACCTTGGCATTGCACATTTTGTGGATTTATATTACTATACTCGTACGTTTACGAATGCTGGTAATGGGATATGTGTTAGCACTAATCTTGACAGGGTAATTTGTATTAGTTAGATATATGTGATGTGTTCACGTATTAGGCATCTAGTAGTATTCATGTATGTCATGTACTGGACTAGTGTGCAAGCATAGATGGGTCAATTAGCTAGCTAGTAACTGCATGTGCTCGTGTGCTGCATGTGTAGTAGGAGTGAGTCTCAGGTTGTTAGCTAGATTATAGGATCAGCAAGTGGTGTGCGCGGTGGAATCGGTAGCTGCATGCGTATGACTCGGCCAAGTCGTTGGAGCTGTATGTATGTACACGAGGCTACTTAAGCCGTGTATCACTCGGTTGTTAGTGTGTGTGTGTCGCAGTACAGAAAGCTAGACGTGCGTCGTCGCCGGCGTTCGTCGCCAAAATCTCTTGTGTGTGTGACTCAAATTTGCTACTGTGTGTGTTGTGTTCATACTACGCGTGAGTTTGCTGCTCCATTAGTTTGTTGTTTCCTGGGCTAAAGCTAACAATATGGACATAGATTAATATGAAATATATCATTCCACAGACATGAAAGACCAAATTTGACTTCTACAAGATACAACAAAAAGAATAAATTAAACTGAAAATAGTTATAGTACATTCGCAATTATATATATGTGTGTGTGTGTGTGTTTGTGTGCGTGTGTGTTATTTTTGTTACAATTTATAGAAGTTGAATTTTAACTTACATTTTTATGGAGCGATATATTTTATATTAATCTATCTTATCAATTTTTTTAATTTCTTGATAATTATTTGCGACTCGGTTGGTCTTGGATCTTAGAGGAATATTCCTCTCCAGGGACTAACCCATTCCGCCCACCCCTAAACCAAACACCCCTAAAAGTGGGTTCGCCCCATCCTATCATATCCTTGCAACCAAACACTACCTCAGATGACATGCAACTGTGCAAGCAATGAGAGGACATCCCCTCGAGGGGTGAAAACAATTTTCCCTATTAATGTTGTTCTATGTTTTGGTTTTGCCTTGTTATGAACCTTGTTGTACGGCTGTTTTTTGCATGTGTTCCTTCATTGAAGATTTGCTCCGGTCTAACAAAAAGTACCACGAGGTACCAGTACCTTATGATACTAAATCGTTCCGATCGTTGAACCTAGTTAGGCAGGATGGATATTGTTAGATCCAATAATCGGAAACGACTTGGTACCATGAGGTACTGGTACCTTACTTTTTGTTGGACAGAGATTTGCTCCAGTCCAAAAAAAGTACCTCGAGGTATCGGTACTTCACGGTACTAAATAGTTTCCGATCTTTGGATTTAGCTGTACAGGATGGGCATTGTTAGATCTAATGATCGGAAGCAATTTGGTACCGTGAGATTCTGGTACCTCGAGGTACTTTTTTTTTTTTACCGGAACTACTCATCTGGATAACATGCATATCCTCAGGATTGGATTTTTTTTTATGGAGACATATATATGGTGGAGCTGAATTACTTTAATTTCAACCGCTTCTAAAACATTAATAATTGACGTGCAATCTCGCAAAAGAAACTTACTTGTACTGTTCAAATTTCCTTGCCATGTAGAAGTACACAGTACAGATGGTGGAGCTGAATATATTGTACTTGTAATGTTTTGTTTTCCTTGCTATGTATATGCAGGTCTGATGACAAACTGAACGACCAGAAACAAGAGCTGGCCAAGAGCAAGGACACACCAGCTGATGATAATCATGAACCGGTGGACGCATCGTCGGTGCCATCGCCACCAGCAGCTGGTTCCCCACCATACATTCACCCAGAGGAGCCTATCCTCTCCTGAATCGGAGCGGCAAGGAGATGGGTGTACAACGCCTGAGCTTTGTGTGATCGGGGTCTGAATCTTTTTTTTTTTTTTTTTTTAAGTTTGAGGTCTGAATCTGATATGGAGAATCGGAGACATGATCACTACTATTCACTAGCAACATATGTATAATGTATATGCTACTAGTACTTTTTTTTAGAACAGCTACTAGTACTTAGTTAGTGCTTGCTAACGTATATTAGTATCCACATCATAGATCGATAATTGCCAATTTATCATGTTCTACTACAGTTCGTCATCTTTACTATTACTAGTTGAAACCCCGCGCGTTGCGGCGGGCACATTAGAAAGGATGAATATGCATGTAAGTATGAATAAACATGAATAAGTGAGATATAAGTGAGTAGTTCTGCTACCTAACCAAACAGGAATATAGTATAGTATAGTATACAATTTCAAAAGTAAGCAGTTCTGCTATCTGATCAATTAAAGATGATATTTGCATCATCAATTGCTTAAAGTGCCAAGCACAAAAAACTCATTTCGAGTCCAAGGAGTTGGAAGTTTATAGTCACAATGACAACACCATTCAGATTTACTGGAAACATTGCAAGCAGAATATTGTTAGGAACACCAAGATCTTCACCAGAGGATAAATATAAGTTGAGTGAAACACATGCAAATATAAAATTAAGTTTTGTTTATTTGATTACAGCAAACTGTAGGTAGGTAGTAATATTGTGAGCTGGAAACAGTAGGAAACTGTAAGTTCTAAATCTCATTGTTTTTGACATTTTCTCCATAGAGAATGATATGCATGTGAGGAAGCTTATTTTTCGTGTAATTCACAACGTGAGCTTGAGTTGGCTGCAGCTTGTAGAGGTCGTCGGTGGATGATTTCCCTTGGAGAGTGATAGAAATAGCTGTTGATTTGGATGCAGTAATCTTGGAAACTGCTTGCAGGTAGTTGGTGTGGATGAGTTGCGCCTCATGGTTCCTGAAGAAGAGTAATGCGTTTGATGATGTATAGATAGGCATATACAGTGTACAGAGCACTGAAATGCATGAAGCATGTTAAATATAAAATATAAGCTTGAAAACTATGTAATTAGGAAGCTATAGCTGAACCTGGATAGCAAGAGCTAACCTATTTTTTTCTGGTTGTTGGTCCATCTGTGTTGGCAATGGACGTTGTGTTTGCAGAAGAAATTTTGTGAAGGAAGGACTGTGGTATGAGAAATTGAGCAGAGCACATGTTGTGGTGTTGTGGGTGATTCTTATAGTATTTCAGTGGTGATAATAAGGATACTATTTTTGTTTTCTCATTTATTGCAGAATCAGATATGATTAAGAATCATATCTTGAGTCTTTTATTATTGAGGATAAAATATGGAATAGATATAAATGCCATATTTCAGATTTGGTTGGTTTTGCCAGTAAACTTGCAAGTAATGGTTGCAAAGATAAGTTAGCAATGATGGTGATAGATTTGGTGCATGTCTAAATTTCTTAAGGAAATCGTTAGCAGTAATGGTGACAGATTTGGTGCAGGCCTAATTTTTTTAAGAAAATCTATATATGTTGCTGATAAAAGGCCATGTTGTAGGAGAATTGTGAAGGATTTGAAGAGTTGTACCTGTTCCTCGTGACCCGATGGCTGTTGATCAGCTATCTTTGGCTGCTGCAGCTGGTTTTCCTCTCCATTGGGGGAGGTTTCCGTTCTGAATTTAGCAGTCAAATTAGTAGCAAAACATACATACATATATATATGCGCGCGCGTGACACACATATATATGTTTATAGGCTGAAACTTTATATGTTTGTAGGCAGAAACTTAAGGTGTGCACGTACACTTTTTTATGGCGCTTAGAATTTTGTCCTGGAGAAAATTCTGTTGACGGTTGTTTTTCCTTGATGAGATCTACTTGTTGGGAATGATAAAGTTGATTTGTTGCAACCTGAATAGTGTTTGCAATTGCTGGGCTGATGCATATATGAAAGGAATTTAGTTGAAGAATAGTTTGTATATTCTGGAAAAAGAACTTGTATGAGTGCAGTACCTTGGTTGATCAATGTGTAACTCCTTTTCAAATTGAAGAGCTCTCTTTGCCGAAGGTATAATTTGGTTTATTGTATTGTTGTCTAGAGTTGTTTCTGGAGGTTGTAGGGACGGTGGCGTAGTGGGATGTTGGTCTTCTTTGCTGCTATTAGTTGTAGTCATAAATATAGAAATGTTAAGCAGAATATAATAAGTAAAAAAGGCATATGTTGGTTAACCTGCAATGTTCCATGGTGGTTAGCCCTTCATCTGTTGCAAGTTGTTTGGTGGCTGATTCCTGAAAAAAGTTATTTTTAGATTATAGATGGTTGGTAGAAGATATGGTAAGGACAAACATTTGTATACCTTTGCTACCTTTGTATTTTCCAGAGTAGGTAGCATCAAACTTGTATTTTCATTTTCAACGGGATAACTCTTCTTGAGGACATAATTGATAGTGAAGTGTGAAGAGTACTTTGTATTCATGGCAATGTGAAACAGTCTTGTTTTCCCAATGGCTGTATCAAGAGCTATGGCATGTTCTGTTGCATCAATTTTCAAGTTCTGGGTAGCTTGAGTAGCATTTACCTCAACCAAATCCTCAGCCACATTGTAGAATGCTACTGCGTCCAAAGTTCCTGATTCATCTTTAATTGTTAAAGGAAGTTTGTACCTGAAATTTTGTTTGAGTATATTAGATTTGTTTATAGAAATGTAAGACGAATTAATTAATAAGAAAAATTAGTATTATAGATATGTCACATACATTGGTTTTGGCATGGAATGCTGACATTGACATCTTGGAGTGTCGGAGTTGCTATTGTATGATGCAGTACATGATTTGCATATTTTGTAGTACCAATTTGTATATGGTACTATCGCTGATACCTTTGCAATGCAACTGTATGAATTCCCTCCCTAGTGTGTAAGAAATATTGAAATGATTATTTAATTAGATTAGCAACTTATTTAGTGATGTAGTGTGAATGAGTTACCTCGAAAGCAGAAATGGGCAGTCTTGATATTTCTTCAAGTTTGTATAGCTTACCAGCCGCTTGAAGTGGAGTTAAATGTTCAACTCGTGGCATTTGTTGTTGGAGAGTTGGAATATCCCATTGGTAGCTTGAAGGAAGATTGATGCATTTTTGAAGCAAATATAAATTAAAATCAGTATGACAATAAGCTATATAAGTTACCTGCTTTGATATTCAGCAATCTCTGTTATATCGGAGTCAAAATATATTTGTGTTGCTGAACTTGATGTAGCCTCTGTTTTGCCTTTTAAAATTGTAGCACATAAGTGAGTAGTGTTCTTTATGAGAGGGGGTATTAAAAAGTTATTTGAGGGACTGACCTAAATAAGTCCCTGCTGTAAGTCCAGCAAGTATAGCTACTACTATTTTGTGGTCTGTAGATTTCTGTAGAACAAAAGCTTCATCAAATGACTCTCCATATTCACCCCAGAGGACTATTTCTTGTTCTTGTTCACTACAAATTGGTGAAACAAAAGGTATAAACTACCGTGTCATATACATTTGGAACATAAAAATATAATGCATATGTGATACATACTCTTTGTTACGGATTTTGAGCTTTCTGTTTTTCTTGGATGATGTTTTGCCAGCATAATCATATGGTCCAACATGGCTGATAACTCCTATCAGATCTAGAGGCAAAATGTTTGAGATTAGTTGTATAATAATTAAATAAAAGAAGATAGAAAATGCAAGTATTACCTATCAATGGTTTTGATATTCTGCTTTTAGATGGTATCTGATCAAATGGGCAGAATTCAAAACCATAGTTTGGGATGGATGAACCTCTTGATTCTAGGTGATGAACCTTTGTGCTGGACTTAAACTGCAACATGTATTTTTGGTGGTGGTAAATATATTTTTTGTTTTTAATATCAGCAGTATTGACATCCACAAACATGTAGACACAGCCTAGAGTTAGTGATGGACGAAATTCATTTTCAAGTTTCTTTGGAATAGTAAACTGCACCATAGTGCCCTGCAAGATTAGAACTGGTATAAGTCTAAAACTGCATCGTTTTATCAGTAATATTTAGATTGGAAGTTAAGCATAGGATAAATCATTTTTTGGTGTAGGATAGTATACCTCTTCATCAAGAATTACCCCATCGATGCTGAATATTGTTGGTGTACTGGCTGAGGCCATGTTTTTAGCATCCCATAGTCTAATAAGTCGTCCGAAAACTTTGAGGTTTTGCTGTCCCAAATTTATCTGTTTGAGTTTTGTTGCTGATCCCATCTATGGAAATGTTCCTGAAATAAGAGGTCTAAGGTTAGCTAGTAGACAATATCAGAAAACATACATTGCATATAAGAGATAATTTGTTTACAAAATACCTTGGTAACTAATTCATATCATTGTTGATACGGTGAAAAATCTCATGATATACTACATTTTGCGTGCAATGTTCATTTGATGAACTATTGCTGTTTATAAGTATCCGCAAGCCTTTTGGAGATGTTACTCGTGATAACGCAACATATAATTGCCCATGAGAAAAAACTGGAGATGGCAAGTATGCACCAACTTTTTGAAGTGTTTGACCTTGGCTTTTGTTAATTGTCATCGCATATGACAAACGTATTGGAAATTGACGTCTTTTTAGCTTGAATGGCCACTTAGATTGGGCTGATGTCGTTATAATACGCGGTATGTATGCTTTTGAACCTTTGGCTTTTCCAGTCATTATTTCCCCTTCAATGATGCGGGTTGTGAGCTGTGTAACAATAAGTCTAGTCGCATTACAGAGACCTCTAGAAGGATCAAGGTTACGCAAAAGCATTATAGGAACACCAATTTTGAGATGCAAAACATGGTCTGGAAGTCCATTCAAAGATATTGTGTTGAGGAATTCTGTTGGGTATAGAGCCTCTAGAGTTGAATGGTTTGCACAGCTATCATCAATAGTATCTGAGCTATAATATGACATTTCAGCAGCTGTTACTTGAGCAATGATTTTGTTGTTTATTTCTGAAACAACCTCATTTATTGGTGGTAAAATTGCACGATCACAAAAATATGTTGTAATATTGCTTGGTACATATCCTAAGTCATACACAAAGGAAATCAAGCTATCAAGATTTCTGGAATCTGAGGGCAACAAAAGAGATTGGGGTATCTCTATGAAAGTACCATTGGTTTCATTTTCTATTGAAATATGAGGCTCTGTACCATTTCCTACTCTTAAAAGCCAATCTGCAAATACCCGTAGTTCTTCTTTATCGGATGGTGAAAGGTTTTGTGAGCTAAGTCTCATATTTTCAGTCAGTTGAAGAACTACACATTGATGCCATAAGTATGAATTAACAATAGAAGCTCGTAGAATTTGGTGCCTTGTTGCATTCTGAATAACAGGAAGTGTTTGCCGAAAATCTCCACCAAATGCAACAGTTATTCCACCAAATTGCCTATGCTGTGCATTAGGTCGAATGTCCGATAATATATCTCTAAGTGTGCGATCTAATGCTTCAAAACAATACTTGTGATTCACAGGTGCTTCATCCCAAACAATAAGAGATGTTTGTTGAATAAGTTCTGCTAAGTGTGTGTTCTTCTTTATACTGCACATAGAATTCTCACGTATGTCCAAAGGGATTTTGAAGCGGGAATGAGGTGTTCTACCTCCTGGAAGTAGGAGGGCTGCAATTCCTGATGATGCAACAGCTAATGCAATTTTCCCTTGAGTTCTCACAAAGTTTAATAAAGTTGTCCATAAGAAAGTTTTCCCAGTTCCTCCATATCCATACACAAAGAATGTTCTTCCCTCATTATTTATGACTGAGTTAGAAATAGAATTGAAGATTTCCTTCTGGTTTGTATTCAGACTATTGATGTCATTAGCAGATGTAGATGCAATGCTGGTAATATCATAGCTGAGTTCATCTAGTAATAATCTATTATCTGCAGATGCACTACCAATATCATCTGGAAGTGGCAAATTAAAGTGTGACAAAGAATATCCAGCATTTCTCAATAATTTATCCAATTCAAATAATAGGGCATTGCCAACAAAAGAGTCTGTAAATGAACTATTACTTTGTGATAGATTTTGATTTGTTCTGTATCTAAAATCTTCACTCATATGCTGGGCATGTTCTGTAAAAAGCCTTTGTGGATTTGTCACCTCACAAAACAGTAAGATTGTTACAAATAACTGACGTAACTGATATGGTAAGGCCCATTGCGCTGCATCATTGAGAGCATGGGACCACTCTTGGTCATCACCAAGGAGACCTAGAGCTTCACATGCAGCTCGAAATGTTGGATGTTGCTGTCCAGATATATTTCTGATTTCAGAGGTCTTTGGTCCTTTAACTATATGGAGTAACATCCTCAAATAATACTGCTCCCCTTTGGTTGGATCAACATGAGCTATACGTCCAATTTTGTTGTAACAACCACGACGTATATCCCAATATTTTTCACTTGCATGCCATGTAAAGTATTCATGGAATTCAATATATGTATGCTCTCTAGCTTGAGGAAATTGACTATTAGCTTCTAACCATGCAGTAAGTTTGGATTTCTGATTTCCTGGGTTTTCAATTACTTCTTCTAGGTCATCATCCTCTATGTACACAACATTATTCTCTAAAGGGAGGTGCACCGGAAGGCGTTCAACTGATGGGTCTGTATGGTGTATATCAAACTGAAGTAAATGCCAAGCAGCATCATTTGGGGTTACACATTGACATTCAAGATAGTTGTCTATTTCATTTATAGTTTCATTTGCTGAATTACGACGAATACCAGCTCTAGAACAATCATATCCTTTTGTAACGTACTTAAAAAGATACTTATGCATACCATCATGATTAACACTTTCCACATTTATGTGAGCTTGGTACTTAACCACCAAATCAACATTATGAGGAACAATGAATCTGTTGTCAATGTCAACCCCATTTTTTGTAACAACTATTTGATTGTTTGGTCGTGCGTATTGGGTAAAACCATTTTGCAATATAGAAGTGTGTTCACAGAATTCCTTTGGATAAAATTTGGAGCACCTTCCTTCAGACATGCATGGTGAATAGGAAATTCCAGGACCGCAAGGCCCATGGATCATAAAAGAAGTAACAGCTTCAAATCCTATTGGATCAAGTGTAGGATTTGGTAGTTGAGCTGAAATACGTAGGTCAACCTTTTCAGCATCTAGAGGTTCTTCTTTTGAAAGCCAAATGATTATATGGACATGTGGTAGTCCACACTTTTGAAATTCTACCGTGTAGACAACTGTACAAAAGGGTTAACTATTATATGGATTTGATGAACAATATATGTATCTAAGAATTTTGATTGAAAGTTGTTTTGGAAATTACCTGCATGTATGGGACCAAAAAAATTATTTTTTTTAATGTCATCCATTAACATATTCAGTTTCATTTTGAACACACGGTCAACGATATCTGGACGATCTGAAGGTTGTTGTCCAGGTGCTAGAGCTTGTAGGATTTCTGGCCAATATGCATTTGATGTGAATGTGACAAAAAGATGTGGGCAACCATACTTCCTACAAATAGCAATGCAGTCTTGGTAGTTTTGATATTGATACCGAGGGCTTCCAGTATGAGAGGCTGGTAAGATAACCCGTTGGCCAGCCGAAGAACCAGTTGTAATGCCTCTAGACACAGAGCTGGCTAAAGAATTGAATTGTGCCGATCTATATTTGTGTTGAAAACTGGGCAACCTATAGTGTTGTATGCGCTCGCCTTCAACACAACAATAGCCATCAACCAAATAAGATTGGGTTAACCTCCCACAACGTAATGGAGTGTTGAATTGGCCTGCTCTATCATGCATTATATAAGCAAAGAATTCAACCATTGTTGCTTTGTTACGCCGCAAGGAAGATGAACTTGCTGTTTGGTTATACATGATGGATTCATGGAAACCATCTTCACCATATGGGAATAAAATAGGATATTGCATGGCCATAAATTTTCGGTGTTTTTCATCTATACGCTGCAATTGTGATGAATGGTGCTGTATTATTATATCCCGACCAATATCAGTCACCCCAATATCCCCAACAACTAATCCTACAACCTCTGCTGCAACTGGTGCACTATATATATCTCCATGTGCATCTGTCGAGCCAAATAGTCGGATCTTGTAATGATCAGATTCATTTTCACTTAATCTTTCTCTTGCTGTTCGGAATAACTTCACAATGGGATTGTGTGTATCGAACATTTCTATTAGAGAGCGAACAATTTCTTCATTGGCATGGAAGGAGTCGCGAGAAGAAGAAGCAATGTTGATTCTGTTAGAGATTTCATTTTCTGTATCAAAGATGTATAGCTGAGCATATTCTGGCCGACGACCTTGTGAAGGTATTAAAGAGCCTACTCTGTGGCAGATCTGTCCACTAATTTTGAAGACATATGGTCCATGGCCGTCGTTGATGGATTCAATGATTTTAGCCCCCATTGAAGTCATAGCAAACATGGAATTGTATCGACGAATATGCTGCAAGAAATGATTTGAAAGGGAGCTCGCAGAAGTTAACAAATTCAATATGGGTTCTGGAGGTGGATTATAAGATGGCAGTGATATCCTTCCCCCCCTGCAACATAAATTATAGGTTGGGTTCCTCGTGTGCCTTTCTTTTCGTGCTCGTTCTTCATACCAAAATAAAGCACCACAATGGATGCAAGAATGCTTGGGGCTGCCAAGATTAAGTGGAGCATAGATTGTTCCTAACAAAGTATATCAATGGAAGATGGCAGATACTATTATATATAAGATGTAAGGTTGGCATATGTCAAATTTTACGTATAAAGGATATGATAACATACGGCGATGGCGAAATACTTGGTTTGATGTAGACACAGATGAAGAATTATTACTCTCAGCTGACTGGGAATGAGAGGATATTCCAATAATTCGTTGTTCATTAGCCAATGGAGGAGTAGATGCAGATGAAGAGCCTATTTCAGTTCTGTTCAACTCTCGATGCAAAGCCCGCTGTTCTGAAGATGATGCTATATGTTGTGAAGGGAATGTGGGTATAGAATTAGATAGGCTATAACCGGGTAACTAAGGTAGGTAGGCAACGATAAATTTTATATTACTAAAAAAATTGAAGGGGTAAATTGGGGAACCAACCTCTACCTCTATGGGCATCCAATATGAGTTTACGTTTTCGTCGTGATTCAACAGCAGTAGCATGATCAGGGTGAGGGACCAAAATATGTGCCAGTGGACGTCTTGACCGACGACGTCCTACTGGAAAACGTGAAGTACTTTGCCCAGCATCCATGGGTTGAACCCTTTATTTTTTAGTTTTAATCAACAAAGCATCTGATCATATATTTACAAATATCGGATGTAACTTTATTATATTTGCAAAATGTAGGAGTATACGCATAAGATGTAACTGGAATATGAAATCAGAAAAGAGATATACAAAAAATTATGAAAAATATAGGATGAGTTGAACATCACACATACCGAGCAAGGTTATCTGCTTTTATGACAATTGTCAGGCTTCTCCTCAAGTGGTGAAACAAATGTTCTTGTATCTATTAATAAAGGATAGGTGAAAGAAGTATAAGCTGCAGGCACCATTTTTATTAAGAAACTAAAACAGTACTCAATGCATAGGTCTCCAACATGTGCAAAAACCACAATGTATGGTCAAATATAATATAACCTGGCAAAATTCATGTGAAATTCACACATACTGAACTGAATCACTAAACCAACCAAAAGCTTTCATTTTATCACACTTTTTTGCGACAAAAATGCATCATAATATGAACTATGGATGTGCATAGTTTGAAAAACAGTATACGCTGCAGGAAAGGATAGGTGAAAGAAGTATAAGCTGCAGGCACCATTTTTTTTTAAGAAACTAAAACAGTACTCAATGCATAGGTCTCCAACATGAGCAAAAACCACAATGTATGCTCAAATATAATATAACCTGGCAAAATTCATGTGAAATTCACACATACTGGACTGAATCACTAAACCAACCAAAAGCTTTCATTTTATCACACTTTTTGCGACAAAAATGCATCGTAACATGAACTATGGATGTGCATAGTTTGAAAAACAGTATAAGCTACAGGTTCTATTTTTTTAAGAAACTAAAACAGTACCCAGTGCATAGGTCTCCTGCATGTGCAAAATCCACAATGTATGCTCAAATATTGTTCTGAGAAAAATCATGTGAAATTTACACATACTGAACTGACTCACTAAAGCATCCAAAAGCTTTCATTTTAACACCTTTTTTGTGACAAAAACGCATCATAACATGAACTATGGATGTGCATAGTTTCAAAAATTTTGATAACATTTAACGTATGTTTTTTAAATGATTTTTTTCACATTTTAACAGGAAACATGAATAGCATGGGGTGAGCTCAACAGAAGACATACCGAGCAGGTCAGTAGCTTCTCGCTATGTCAGGACATCTATGTAGCAATCCTCTGGCTCCTCACCAACTGCTCAAATACATTAAAGTGATAGGACATATAAGTATCCACTGCAAATATCAGTTTATTTTTTCTTAAAAAACTGGAACTACAATCAGTGTTGAAATCATAATGTTTGCTCAAATAGAATATGGAGAAAATTGATAGGACATATAAGTATCCACTGCAAATATCAGTTTATTTTTTCTTAAAAAACTGGAACAACAATCAGTGTTGAAATCATAATGTTTGCTCAAATAGAATATGGAGAAAATTGATGTCAAATTCAGGCTTATCAAATAGAATAAATTCTCACACTTTTTTTTCAGAAACTAAAATCACGTAGGACATATAAATATCCACTGCAAATATCAGTTTATTTTTCTTAAATAACTGGAACAACAATCAGTGCATAGGATAGGGATTATTTCTTTAGGTGTAGAGAATCCAATTTACAAAGCTTTTATAGTGATCTTGCCTGGTTGAAATCATAATGTTTGCTCAAATAGAATATGGACAAAATTGATGTCAAATTCAGGCTTATCAAATAGAATAAATTCACACATTTTTTTTCAGAAATTAAAATCAGTACTCAAGGCAAAGAACCAACTCAATCCAGACATATTTTTTTTCAGAAACTAAAATCAGTACTTAGGGCAAAGAACCAACTCAATTCAGACATACAAAATTAGTAACGAAGCCTACATACAATGATCTGACAAAGTTTGATCCACAACTAACCTATCATGCCGTGATCGCAATCATGTCCGAATTGGAGAATATGCTTGCAGGATGAAGCGATGATGTCGAGGGAGGTATGGATCTGAGGCTTGCGGATAGATGGATGATGTCTGACGGAGAGGCACAGGTTTGAGGAGACGTCTGGTAGCACTGGGGATTGCAAGAGGATTATCAAAAGGTTTGGAAGAGGCTTACGAAGAGAATTTGCAAGAGGCACATAAATCGTATTAACCATCGCGCCTCCAGTACCATAATGATTTTGGCCGTTTCTAATGTAAATGCACATCATTAAGGGCGGGGAATAGGAAGAAGCATGGTGATTACCGTTTCTGCTAGCCAAGAAGATGGGGAGGGGGCGGTTGATTTCACCATGGATGGCGCTAGGGTTCCCGATGCTTCTTCCCATCGGATGGATGGCGCTAGGGTTTCCGAGTCCAGACGCTTCTCCCCATCGCCGCATCGCTAGTTGCTGAGTCACGGACGCTTCGCCCCCATCGCTGAGTCACGGACGCTTAGCCCCCATCGCGCATCGCTACACGGCTCCCCATCGCTACCTCCTGCTGCGACCGAGATGAGCGCGGTCCCCACCACCACCTGCGCGCCATCGTCGCCTCCTGCGACCGAGCGCCCTGTCCCCACCACCACCTGCGCGCGATCGCGACGCGGTGGGCGAGCGCTAGGGTCCGCCGCACTACGCCGCCGCTGCTCCGCTCAGGAAGGCAGGAGGAGATGAGACATACCGAACCCTAAAATCCCTCATTGGACTGACTTGGGCCTCTTGGGCCTCACGACTTGGGCCTCTTGGGCTGCAGTATACGTGCTGTGTTCGACCCCGAGGCAGATTGAGGCAGATTGCATCCCAACGGTGCAGATGCAATATAATCTACCGATCCAAGGGCTGTAAATTAATGATGACGTGGATCATTGAGGTTTGAGCTTTAGGATCTTAATTGCACTTAGTGGGGGATAACTTTATAGGAAGAAGGGATACACTACTACAAAAGTAGTTTTCGCTGGTGGCCAAAATGTGTTTTCGCTTGCGGCTAGAGGTGCCGCCAGTGACTAAAGGCCAGTGAAAAAAAATATGTTTGCACTAGGCATACAAAAATGGTTTGAATTTTTTTATCCCCAAATTTATTTTCACTAGGCAAAATAAAGTGCACCGACAGTGAAAACAATTTTGGGATAAAAAAAATTTAAAATAGTGCCGCCGGCCGCCACAGCCGCAAGCACCGCCAATGGCCGTCGCGACACCTCGTCGTGTCCGCCGCTTGCTGAAGCACACACCGTGGTCGCCAGGCAGTAGAGGGGAGGGGATTGGAGTCGTGGTAGCCGTTGTCGTCATTGCGGGAGCTGTCGTCGGATCCACCTCCTTCACCGTCGTGGGCGATCGCCCGAGCACCCACGCAGGTGGATCCATGCCCACCCTCCGCCCCGTTGCCACCCTCCCTGTCGGCCTCCCCCATCGTCACGGTGGCGGATCTAGCCCCGAGCTCGCGACGCGGCGAAGAGGAGGAGGTCTCGCCCCCACCTCCGTGGAGAGGAGAAGACCGCGGACCGCTCGCTGGCCGCCCGTCACCGCGCCAACCCTAGAGCTCGAGCGCTTGGTCGAGGGCCTTGTTGAGAATGTTCGTCCTCGCCTGCAGCGTTGGGTCCTCGTCATCGTCCTGCTCATGGCAGCGCTTCTTGTTTCGGTGAGCCCTCTGCTCGGCCTTGTGACCTTGTCGATCTTGCTCGCCAGATTCACTATCGCAGTGACAACGGCAAGCAGCATCTATCTTGCTTTCTCAACTCGACTCATGCATGAAACGAGTCGGTAAAACCAATTTGTACGGCTGCGTTCTTTTGCTAGCTTTCTGAACTCATTTTTCTAGTTTTTCACATGCAAGTTTCTTGTACTAACGATGTATATTTTATAAAGCAAATTCTATACGAAAATTGCTTAAAAATTATATTGATTATTTTTTCCGAAAAAAAGCTAGCTAGTACTTAATTAATCGGATGGTTCCATTTTACGTATTTGAAAAGTGAGTTCTTAACTCTAGCCATAGTAGCTTCTGAAGCTGGCGCCTTTGCGAAGGGGATAACAAATTAAATGCACCAGTTGGAATCGACTACCGGAGGTGAAGTGTTTGTGACCATTAACCACCGGAGGATGATCGAGCACATGGATGGCGAGGCGACCCTTCTAGCTTCGTCCCGTCCGTCCATCCGTCCATCCATCCATCCTATCGGAGGGTTCGCGGCGCACGAAGGGAGGAGGAGGCCGCATCTATCATGTCGTAGTGTTTGTCTTCTCGGTCCGAGTACTAGTCCCGGTCTCACTTGTGACGACGAGATCAACATCAACGTCGTCTCAACTTGTAGTAGCTGTAGCTAAGGGTGGAGAGTGACTGTTCTAATAGCCACATTGCCCCTTGCGTGCGATGCTTCTGAAGACCATCTCTTTTTTTTAGAACATTATGAAAAGCATCTTCTTTTCTTATTTGTCCCTTACACCCACAACACATCACACCACGCTCACATACGCACAAATTTGTCTCGTAAGACATGCACTCCCTCTGTTCTAAAAAGAAAAGCCAACTTAATTAGCACTGGGATATGGCACATCCTAGTATATAGTGGTGTTTGAATCTACTAGGTTGGCTTTTTTTTTATATGGCACATCCTAGTCTATAGTAGTGTTTTAATCTACTAAGTTAGTTTTTTTTTTGGGACAGAGAGAGTATATGAAATGGAGATGATCAGCGAACACCTGTGTACGCGTGGATACGTCTATGAGACAAGCTTATGGTGACGAACGGGATCAGCGTGTCCCATTAAAATTATATTGAAACCTTGTCACTACGATTTAAATTCTGATAGATAATGATCTTAAATTGAAAAATAAATATAAAGTTAATTGGTCCAAGGTAAAAGATAATTAAAAAAAGCTTTGATAATAAAACTTGATCCAAACTGTAATCCATTTTTATTAAAATTAAAACTATAAAGTAAGCACAACTCAATATCCGCGATTTTCTATTCAGATTTTGTTTATCGGAGTATTGAAATGGATTATTTATTTCATGCTTAGAAAAATGCATTTTCTAAAAAAAAAGTCTTATGATGCATTCCTTATATCATTTGTTTAAAACTATTTGTTAAATTTGTTTATTAAAGCATTTGATATCCTCATAATCAAGTAAATAATTTCTAAAAAAGCTCTATAATACGTTTCAAGCTGAGCCTAAGCCTTATACACAAATATTTAGACATAAGTTTGGACTTTAATTGGGTAATCACTTGTATATGAATCAATGTTGATACATGCATGGCATATCACCTCTTGTCAGACGTTGCCGACCAAGATGCATATGCACTGGAGTAGAATGATTTGTACTCCCTCCGTGTATTAGAAGTTACTCCCACTGTATTGACTTTTCTAAAGTTAATTTTTTTTAAAAAAAAGCTTGACTAAATTTATGGAAAAATATACTTCCCCCGTTTCACAATGTAAGTCATTCTAGCATTTTCTATATTTATATTGATGTTAATGAATCTAAATAGATATATATGTCTAGATTCATTAACATCAATATGAATGTGGAAAATACTAGAATGACTTATATTGTGAAACGGATGGAGTAGTAATATATATTTGTAGCATCGAGTTAGTTTTATTAAATATAACATTGAATATATTATTATAATTATTTTGTTTTATGTTGAAAATATTGTTATGTTTTTTTTAAAAAATTGATAAAGCTTAAGAAATTCGACTTAAAAAAAATATGAAACGAGTATAGCAGTACCCAAAATAAAGATGAGAACGCATGTTAGGGCAACTTGGCAAGTAGCGGAGGCAGGAGATATCGATCGATCGGCTAATGAAAATGAAACCGCATCGTTCGTCTGTTCCTACTGACGACACGACAGTTAAGTTGGCCGTGTCCAGAAAGCATGCAGTGCACGTGCTACTACATGTCTATAGGCAGTACGCGTATCAGGTATGTGTAACCAGTAGAAGAATGCAATCTATTATATAATTAAAGGAATAAAAAAAAGGAGCCTCCACGTTCGCTCTCATGGTCTAGAAATTCTCACATTAATCGGAGAAAAAGAAAAAACAGAGTCCATATAGAAATACAATTTAGAAATAGCTGAAATTCGGAATTAAAAAATAAGGAATATTAGAAGAGGAGACTAGAGTCCATATAGAAATACACTTTAGAAATAGTTGAAATTCGGAATTAAAAAATAAGGAATATTATAAGAGGAGTATAGAGTCCATATAGAAATACAATTAGGAAATAATAGAAATTCGGAACTAAAAATAAGGAATATTAGAAGTAGAGTATAGAGTCCATATAGAAATACAATTAGGAAATAATAGAAATTCTGAATTAAAAATAAGGAATATTAGAAGTAGAGTATAGAGTCCATATAGAAATACAATTAAGAAAAAAATAGAAATTTCGGAATTAAAAAATAAGAAATATTAGAAGTAAAGTATAGAATCCTTATAGGAATTTAAAACTAACTAAAATTCAGAAAAAAAAGGAGCCTCCACGTTCGCTCTCGTGACCTAGAAATTCTCACATTAATCAGAGAAAAAGAAATAGCAGAGTCCATATAGAAATACAATTTAGAAATAGCTGAAATTCGGAATTAAAAAATAAGGAATATTAAAAGAGGAGACTAGAGTCTATATAGAAATACAATTTAAAAATAGTTGAAATTCGGAATTAAAAAATAAGGAATATTAGCAGAGGAGACTAGAGTCCATATATATAGAAATACAATTTAGAAATAGTTGAAATTAGGAATTAAAAAATAAGGAATATTAGAAGAGGAGACTAGAGTCCATATAAAAATACAATTAGGAAATAACTGAAATTCGGAATTAAAAATAAGGAATATTAGAAGTAGAGTATAGAGTCCATATAGAAATATAATTAGGAAATAATCTAAATTCGGAATTAAAAATAAGAAATATTAGAAGTAGAGTATAGAGTCCATATAGAAATACAATTAAGAAAAAAAAATAGAAATTTGGAATTAAAAATAAGGAATATTAGAAGTAGAGTATAGAGTTTATATTGGAATTTAAAATCAACTAAAATTCGGAATAAAAAGGAGCCTCCACGTTCGCTCTCATGGCCTAGAAATTCTCACATTAATCAGAGAAAAAAAAAGCATAGTCCATATAGAAATACAATTTAGAAATAGCTGAAATTCAGAATTAAAAAATAAGGAATATTAGAAGAGGAGACTAGAGTAGTTATTACACATTAGTAGTTTTGAAAAGTTATTGCAAAATTTAAAATTATGTTGTCATTGTAATATATTTTAATAATATAATGAGAAAACATATATGCTATTATATGAGAGAAAATATAATGATGCTAGCCGCACAATCTGCGCGGGCCACCATGCTAGTTTAATTTTATAACAGCAGAATGATATGGCATATTTTTATCTCTTAATTTGCCGGTAAATTGACTTGTTTTTTAGTACTACGTTTTCATCCCCCCCCTAACTTCTTGTTTAGGTCCTTATTGATACAATCTCGATGCACATATTTAAGTGTTTTTTAATAGCATATCTGTAAAACATTAAAAGTATAACTATCAACAATCCTTTCATATAAACTTTGCCAACTATAACCTACCTTTTGCGGATCAATTCCTCGGTAAATCCCTCCTGGACCCTTGAAAGAGGTTCAATATGTGAAATTAATCCCTCCGATTTCTTCCTTTTGGGCATTAACCGAACAAGGCTTGGCTGAATTAATATTATATATTTATTTCACACTGTCTTGAAATAAACTTTTTTTCTGATGAATTTTTTGGATCACGAGTACGTATCTTTTTAAGCTTATCCATCAAAAAATTTATTCGTCCCTATAATTAAATAGACAATCCAGTGAATAATAATCCATTTTAATTTGCACCCTTTCAAACGAGACAGCACGCTTCCCGCACGTGTTCTACGGGCCTAACGAACTCAGCAATATATACTCCTAGCTAGTCACATAGGCATGCAGGGCTTTGTACCAATGGTCCAACGTAAGCATCCCAGTGCATTTACAGTTGGATACATGGACAGTCAAAACAAAAAGACGACTATATATGCGTCATCCGTGGGTTTGTAACCTAGCTATATCTGACGATGTCTCTAATTAACCCGTGATTAGCTACTACCTTGGTTAATTAGAACGTTTCCAGGAATCTTCATCTTTCATAGAGTATATATACAACGGTGCACGGCGGTGAGTATAGACAATAGCAGTCCACGGTGCCGTTCAATCCGAGTCTAATGCCAGCTTTTCATCTCTGGGCCCGTTTACTTCCCCAAATTTTTTTCCCCAAAAACATCACATCGAATCTTTGGACATATGCATGAAGCATTAAATATAGATAAAAAGAAAAAGTAATTGCACAGTTATGGAGGAAATCGCGAGACGAATCTTTTAAGCCTAATT